TTGTTGCTGTGTCCTCCTGCCGCATCCTCTGTAGTAGGAGGAAGAACTGCTGGAGCTGAGCATGACATTTTGCAAGCAGTCTGAATGGTTGTGCCAAACATGTAGGAGCTGGTAACCACCAAATGAGCCAGCAATGCGGTGACGGGGGGAAATGCAAATTATAAAACTTCTGAATATAGTTGAAGATGCTGGATAAAGTAAGAGGGTTTAGTTAAGAATAATCTTAGAAGCGGTTTGACTTTTGAAGGAAATACCAGTTTGTGGACAAGAGGGATGAGAACATTGCATGAGGGTCTGGTATGATTGGAGGGTGGTGTACCAGTTGCCATCTCTTCACATTAGGTTCAGTGGATGCTGCTGCTGGAAAGGTTGTAAAGAGAACAAATGTAACCACGCTTGGTACAGAGGGCTCACTAGATGTTCGTGTTCTTGGCCTCTCAGCTATATTTGATGCAACTGAGCACTCTAGTTTCTAGGACGCTTCTGCAAACAATTTTGCAAAGCCACTCTTTCTCAAAATTTTCAGATATTCCTTATTTCTCATTGGTAGCAGTTTGTCCTCTAGACCAGTCATTGCCCCCTCATCTGTTGATGCTTTTGTAGGAGTTTATTCATCCCCGTGGTTATAATTAACACTTCTTACAACCCTGGATAATATTACCTTTGACCTGGAGCCATCCTGGGGTAATTGTGCCAGGAAAGAATGGAGCTTACCCCTATTGTCAAGAGTGCACAGGAAACTAGCGGTGGCCAATCCACAGTGTTGAGTCATTGCTCCCTTCAGACAAACCAGGGGGTTTGCTACATGGGAGGTTGGGGGATTCTACCTTCTGGCTTAAATCTGGCCTGCACTCCTGCAACCCTGTTTGTGAAACTTAACCAAGAACGGTTGCAAGGCCCCTTCAGGAGAAACTGGCTCAGTAGCACTGATGTAGCAGTGACCCCGCACTTGCACTTGGAGATTATGGTGCATACCCACCCACTCTACCAGCCTAGGTAGCATATGATCGTAGATCTAGATGCCATTTTTAACATGATACTCTTTTGCCTATTTGTTATTCTTAGTTCCTATCTGGCCCAGACAAAGCTCTGAATATTCAAGAGCTTTTTGAGCAACTGTAATGACTCCCCTGAAGACAGGTGCTGTGTAGCCCCTCAACAGAAGCAAGCAATTATCCTCTCAATTTTTGCTCTTGGTTCTTGATAGAGCCTCCAGGTAGGAAACAGTTGAACACATTCCTTGCATCCCGAAGAATATATTCATATTCATTCATGTGTGTTAGGCACTGGGCATAGAGAATATATTAGTATTCATATTTAATGCCTGCAATGTGTTAGGAGCTGTGCATAAAGTAGTATAACAAGATGATCTTGCAAAGCTTATGTAGTCTACTACAGGAGACAGATGAAACTAGGAATTTTAATATCTGGTAAGAAGACAAGTTAGGTAGATGATGCCAAGGGGCACCAAAGGCAGGAGATAGGAAGGCTTCCTGGAAGAAGTGATGTCTAAGTGGAGTGTGCTTGCTACCCAGTAGGTTGGTTGACAAGATAAGTTGCACTGCTCATTTTTTGAATGGAGATGAAAGAATAAAGGCTGGAAGAGGTAGATGTTAACAATGAGTTTGGTTTAGATGTGTTAAACTTGATGTGCTTATGGGGAATTTTAATGGAGAGGGCATCTGCTCAGGATACAACTCGATGAGAGAGATTTCAGAGTGGTCAGCATATAGCGGTAACTGAAGCCATGGGAGTGACTGCTATTACCCAGAGTGTTGGTGCAAAGTAACAACCTTGGGGAATATATTAAGGTGCAGTCAAAGTAAGCCCACAAAGGGCACTGAGTAGCCAGAGATGTAAGGGGACACTGGGATAGAATAGAGCCTGAAGCCAAGGCACAAGTTCCATACATTCCTAGACTCTGCTATGTTTTGGGACAGGGACCACATTGCAGAAAGAAGAATCTTAGATTTGCTGCTGAATTCTTAGGGAGGACTGCTGATTCCATCACTATTCCAGACTAAGGATTTCTCCCAAAGGAAACAACTGTTACCCAAGCTGTCCTACTGTAGGGCCAATGCTTTGTCTTCTCTGGTTCATTTGGTCCATCCACATACCTCTGCAAAGTCTTTATGTATCCTAGGACCTAATGTGTTTTCAATCTACTTGAAAGCTCTTCAGAAGGATTTTCCAGGCTTGGCAGCAGTTTCCCTTGCACAACATTGTGACAAAGTTCTCTTGCCCCAGTGTTCTCAACAAGCACTGCCTGCCTAGAAACCCCTTTCCTTCCTACCGTATCCAAAAATCTTACTTTCCTCCTAGGAATTCAGTGTGAATAAATCAGGATGTTCTCAGTGGCATGTGACACAATAGCTTGTCTAATTCAAGCTGGCCTAAACAAGAAGTATTTGTCTCACATAGTTGGAAAATCAGAGGTTGAATTCAGACGCTGAACTTAGTTAGGGCTGACCTCAGAGATGCCCTCGAAGGCTGTACTCTTTCCACCTCTACTCTGCTTTCCTCAGTGTGTTGGTCTTGCCAAGGGTCATGCTGGTTCCGCTCATACTCAAAAGGTGGATGCAGCAGTTCCAGGCCTCACACCCAGACACTGTCCAAAGGAAAGAAGGATCCATCCTTCTTTCTATTTCTTAGAAGTGAGACTTTTGTTCCCAGAACCAAACCAGCAAACTTCCTTCACCCTTCTGTGGTGAAGATTGGGTCACATATCTATTCAGTAAAATGGATGTTGGGAATCAATCATTATAACTGGATCTATGGAAAGAGGTGAAAAGTATTAAGTCTAAATCCATGATATTCCAGCTATCGCCGATTACCCCACCCAGGTGTGTACTCAAACACACCTTGCCAGTATTGACAATCGATGATTGTTCAATGTTAATTATTCAAAAAAAAAATTTTTTTTTTTTAAGATTTTATTTATTTATTTGAGAGAGAGAATGAGAGAGAGCATGAGAGGGGGGAAGGTCAGAGGGAGAAGCAGACTCCCTGCAGAGCAGGGAGCCCGATGCGGGACTCGATCCAGGGACTCCAGGATCATGACCTGAGCTGAAGGCAGTCACTTAACCAACTGAGACACCCAGGCGCCCTATTCAAAAAATTTTTAAGAGTTTTAAATTTTTTCTAAGATTTTATTTGAGAGAGTGCATGGGTGCACATGAGCAGGGGGAGGGGCAGAGGGAGAGAGAATTTCAAGCAGATGGCTGCGCTCTTGCAGAGCCCAACTCGGGGCTTAATCTCATAACCCTGAGATAATGACCCGTGCAGAAACCAGGAGTCAGATGCTTAACCAACTGAACCATCCAAGCACCCATAAAGATTTTATTTTTAAGTAATCTCTACCCTCAGTGTGGGGTAGAGAACTGATAACCCCGAGATTGAGTTGCATGCTCTGCCAACGGAGCCACCCCAATTCAAATATTTGAGTTTCCATATCTGTGGCTGACTCTAACCTCTGTATGGGGTCTTATGCAGCCCTTGGGGATTGTTAAAGCTTTTGGATAATATCATGAAAATTCACTAATATTTATTAATGCATTAAGCCCCTACTGTGGGTCTAACACTGCCCTGAGGGCTGGAGAGAAGACAAAGCAAGAGCTCTCTCTGGAAGGCTAGAGACACTGTGGGGCGTGTCCAAGAGAAAACACCCAAACCTGAGGCTGAAGAGTGGGTTACTGTTACTGGAGGAAATGTTTTCGTCTGTGGGATTAAGACACCCCGACCTCCTCCTCATCAGCGCTGGAGCTGATCTGCCAGCATAATTGTAAGGCAAGTGGTGCCAACCCCGCAGGAAGGCACTGAAAAGGGTTTGCCCAGAGGAGAACCAAGTTAACCTCTAATGAATGGATGATACTGGCGCCCAGGCAACACGGAGAGGAGCTTTCGAAGCCACCAGAGCAGAAGCACGCAAAAGAACCGCCCGCAGGCTTGCAGCTGGCAGGATTCGCACCCACATCCTCACCACTGGGATCCGGGTCCTGGGCTGAACGTGGGGCACTACTGTCACCGCTGGGTGGTGCTCACTGGCTCGAAAAACACTAAGTTCAGAAAACCTGCCCTCGCCCCCCAAAACAAAAACGTCAAGACAAGCTACAACACTGGGGTGTTCGGATAAGGGCCTGAGGTGAGGGTGGCGTGTGTCTCGGCCCGGGCCCGGGCCCTCGCGGGCCCGCCCACCGCCTAGGCCCCCTCACGGCCCACCGCCTAGGCCCCCTCACGGCCCACCTCACCGCCACGCGCCCCGCCGTCGCGCCTGCGCACTGACGCCCGCGGAGGCGGAGGCGGGGCGGCCTGCGGCTCCGCCCCCCGGCGCGGCCTGTCAGCGGCCGAGCGAGGTTTTGCCTCACTCGCCCGCCGCGCCAGGCCGGCAGCAGCTCGAGAAGTGGTCGTGCGGCAGGATGAGTGCAGGCTCTGATCCCGTGGTCATCGTCTCTGCGGCTCGGACCGCCATAGGTAAGTGGCCGGCGGCGGTCCAGCCGCGGGGACCCCGGAACCCCTGGGGTGCCCCGGAACCGGCACTCCGCGCCTTCTCGGGCCTGCCGGCCGGCAGCCCCACCCCATCCTCGCCCGCTGAGGCCTACTCCGCCTCGCGTGCTCCGATTGGGTCCCCGGGTAGAACCACCGTGCCGCCCTGCCTTCCCATTGGCTGGCGAAGGTAGGCGCTCTCTTTCGAGTCCTCTGGTTGGCCAGCTCCTGGAGGAACCATGTCGGCCCGTGGCCGCAGGGGCGGGGTCGCTGGGTGGTCCGAGCGGGGCCGCGCTGGCGAATGGAGGATTGCTGAGAGTTGCCGTGCGGTGCTTAGCGCTGTGGAGATTTCACAGCCCTTGGGCGCGCGGGACTGTGGACCCCTTTTGTTAGGGAAGCGTGGGCCGAGCGCATCTGCTGGCGCTTGGGAAATGGATGCGTGGGTTTCCCGCGGGTCCGCTCCGTGCCCGCTCGAGCCGCGCTGGGCGCCGTGCTCATCGCCCGAGCTTCCCCTTCTTCCCTAGGCTCCTTCAATGGTGCCTTAGCCTCCGTCCCTGCCCATGACCTGGGCGCGACCGTCATCAAAGAAGTCCTGAAGAGAGCCGCCGTGGCTCCCGAAGAGGTGTCGGAGGTCATATTTGGACACGTCTTGGCAGCAGGTAATTCCTCAGAGGTCCCGGCGGAGGTCAGGGTCATTGGAAGCCGCCCATCGACGCCCCCCTCACCCCTCCCGCTCCCGAAACTGAAGTTCTTAACTCCGGAGGTCTGCTCACGGAGTTCCCGCTGTCGGGGTTCTTCCTGCTGCCCCCCTGCCAAGCCCCCGTCACTGGCTACTGTCCAGCCTAACGCCGTGCGACTTTCCTAGGCGTCTTCTGATGAACCTGGACTAGGCCACCGTCCTCCACGGCCTTCTTCGTTCTTTAGAACCAGGCCCAGCACACCCATCAAGAGTACACACGGCCCTCCATACGCCCCTAAAGTGCCACACATCTAGCCCAAATGTGTGAATTCCTCCTTTGTGCCCTGCACTGTGCCAGGTGCTGGCGACAGGGCTCCAACAACACAGGTGAGGTCCTTGCCCCGGGCCCCATAAGGCTCACCTCCTGCTCCTCACAGGGCTGTCACTCCCTGGGTGGGGACAGGTGAGTCACCAAGAGTGCTCCAGTCTCACTTCTGGTTCCCACTGAGTTTATAGACCAGTGACCGCTGACAATTCCTGGTTATTAATAACTAGATTCATGAGGGGCACTCCCCCTGCTTGTGTTCCCTCTCTCACTGTGTCTCCCTCTGTCAAATAAATAAATAAAATCTCAAAACAACAACAACAAACACACAACTAGATTCATGCTCACTCAGTAGCATAAATTCTAATTGTTCCTAGCGGTAATTGGTAATGCTCACTTACAACCAACTTTTGTCCTTACCCTGTCTGAGACCTGGCCCATTTTTTGTTATATTCACTTGATAGTTTTGTAGTTGCAATTCCCGATTATCCTTTCTCAAATTGTCCTTAGGGGCCATAAAGTTGGAGCCTACCACTTTGTCATGACTCTCAAGGGCTTTAAAATATGTAATATTCTCAGACTGGCTGCCTTCAGCCCACATCCTCCTTCCTTCCCAGACCCACGATTCAGACTTAGTTGCCATAGGGTCCGTCATGCTGGTTTCTCTGTTATCTCTTCCACATCTGTCCTCTCTAGTATCTCCACATAATTAAAATACAAATAATAGCTATGTTCATTGAGGACCTGCTGAATGCTGGGCCTTTAAAGCACTCTGCTTAGTGCTTTCATTGCTTTATTGAATCCTCTCCGTAAGTCCGTTGAATCGTATTATCTGTTCTGCAAATGATTAAATGAGATTTTCAGGGGCACAGTTTGAAGTGCAGCTAGTATTTGAACCCTCACCTGTCCGGCTCCTTAAGCCTACGTGCCCTCCACAATCCTGTAAAAATACTACCTGGGCACCTGCTGTGCTCCAGGCACTATTCTTTCCACTAGGGATAAGCAGTGTTCATATCAGATAGAAATCCTCATTCTCATGGAACTCATACTCTGCTAAATGCCAGGCTATTAGTTAATTATGTGTAACACTCATTTCTTACCTTGAAGATGGGGGTTATGAATAGACATATAATATTTTTATGAAGGAGTTATTTACTTAAATGCATATGTAATTAATTGTAGCTTCAAAAGCAGGAGCCTTAAATAATGTCTTTTTTTTATTAACTAACATGCTATGAGTTTAATTCAGAGGTATTTTGATTCCTTTTTTTTTTTTAAGATTTATTTATTTGAGAGAGAGAGTGTGTGTGCATGAGCACGGGGAGGGGCTGAGGGAGAGAGAGAATCTTCAATCAGACTGCTTGCTGAGCTTGGAGCTCGCCTTGAGGTTCAATCCCAGGGCCCTGAGATCATGACCTGAGCCAGAATCAAGAGCCAGCTGCCTAACCAACTGAGCCACTCAGGTGCTCCTCGTTCTTTTTAATAATTTCTCCTGTATCTGTTTTCACTCTCAGTCTCAGGGCTACCAGTCTAATCCCAGATAAAGAACATTGTGATGAATATAATCTCTAAATTTTTGTCTGTGACCCATGTGCTGGTTTTTGCTAACAAACTCACTGAGGAAAGGTACTAGGTGTGGGTGTATCTGAAATTGGCAGCAGAGTGACCACTGTATAAGTATTGATCCTTTGATAATAGACAATGGGTACTGAGAATATTTGAAACTTTCCACTCCATTCTCTTCCCTGCTACGATTATATGTGTAATGTATTTCTTCCCATTCCCTGAAGGAAGTCCCCACAGTTGAATTATAGAAAGGTATTTGTCAGTTCTGATTTTGTACATGTCTTGTTACATAACCGGTTAACCATGTGTGATGAATATCAAGGAAGGGAAGAAGTTTTCCTCTTTAACCCTCTTACCATGCTAGATGTCTTAAGCCATGATCATGGAAGCTCATAGCCCTAGTTAGAAACATGAATAATGCCCAAGTTCTGCCCTGTGTTTAGAAGAGAGTGTGCTTATTCAAGCTCTGTCAAAAGATCACCAGAAGAACATTTCCTTCTTATGATATTAATAACTTCCTTGTGGAAAAGAAAGCTTATGTCCACAAGCAAAGGATAATCCATATTCAGGGGCTAGAGTGGCAAGTATAGAGTGGACATGGGCCTTTTCTGTCTGGTTGGGAGTGTGGCTTGGTTCAGCTTGACTGGGAAGTGACAGGAGCCCAGTTGTTAATCTAATATCTGTGCACTTTGATCTAAATATTTTGCCCTTCTCCTTGATTACTGTGAGGTCTCTGTGTTCCCTCTGCCAGGTTGTGGGCAGAATCCTGTTCGACAAGCCAGTGTGGGTGCAGGAATCCCTTACTCGGTTCCAGCATGGAGCTGCCAAATGGTCTGTGGGTCAGGCCTAAAAGCCGTGTGCCTTGCAGCCCAGTCAGTAGGGATAGGAGACTCCAGCATTGTGGTTGCAGGAGGCATGGAAAGTATGAGCAAGGTAAGGCCTCTGGAGAGTTGGCTGTCACTCACCTCTCACTAATAAACTCATGTCCGTGCCATAGCGGAGTAAACTGACCCATAGAAGAGCTGAAACCAAACCGTAAACCCTGAAAAAATGGATTCAACTTTGAATCCCTATCTGGATGGTTTTATTTTTATTTTTTAAAAGATTTTATTTATTTATTTGAGAGAGAGTGAGAGCATGAGCTGGGGGGGGAGGGGAGGGACAAAAGAAGAGGAAGAAGTAGGCTCCCCACTGAGCAGGGAGCCTGACACGGGGCTTGATCCCAGGATTCTGGGATTGTGACCTGAGCCCAAGGCAGACACTTAACTGACTGAGCCACCCAGGTGTCCCTCTACCTGGTTGTTAATTCGTCTTCCAAGTTGCATGGGAGATCCAGGTTGTAGAAAAAGCCCATCAGCCAGTGTGATTGGAACAGAATATACTTTTTTCTAAAATGTTACCAAAGCATAAAATATTTTCTGAATTAAACCTATAACATTAGTCAGTTGGTATCCTTCATCTCAAATTTTTTTCTCATTGTGGGGAAAAGTCAAAAGCAGATGTTTTCACTTACTGTCCTGCACTTGACGAGGAGGACCCCAGGGACCCAATTTAGTTGACCTTTTGGAAGCATAGAATGTGGAAAAGAGGACCAGGCGGGATTTGTTTCACCAAGGTCCAGCCCTCAAATTGGCACGGCAGTGAAAAGGAAAAAGTATATCCCCTGCTTCCTACAGGCAGTTCGGGGTCTGACCTGGGGATCCCCTAGACAGAGGCTGATTCTGCTCAGCAATTGCTGAGGCCCAGGAGGAGGTAAGTTGAAGGTACTAAACAGGATCAGAGTGACTGAAGGGACTGCACCAGTGTCTGTGTGGTACTTCACAAGGTGCTTTTATACATAACCGTCACAATAGCCCTCAGAGGGTAGGTGGTATCATTCCCAATTTACAGATCAGGAAACTGAGGCCCAGAGCCAGAATTCAAATAGAGATCTTCTGACTCCCAAATGTTTCCATCCTATTATAGCTGCTGTTGAATTGGTAGGAGTTAAGAAGCTCCCCACCCAGAAATCCCTTCCCATTAGTTAATTAGGCAACCTGATTATTCTCATTATAGGCATTATGTCTTTTATCAAAATAAGTGACACACTGTTAGCATCATTTATGCTTTTAGATGAGCTCCTCATTTAACAGATAACTTGTTGCCTCTTTGGAAAGAATAAATGAGGTCCTTAAGGAAATAGGACACAGAATGGAGAGATTTGGCGGTAAATGGAAATAGGTAGGTAGGAGAGTAACAGCTTCTCAGGAGTAGGCAGGATAGAGTAGTCTTCTGATTCCAAGGGTCTTCAGGCCCCAGACCCTGGGTGGGGAAGAGGGTGGGCCAGAATTGTGGGTCACAGAGGGGGGTCTAGGTGAAGACTGAGGAACCACTGGATAGTTTTGGGTGGGATCCTAAGGAGAGGACTAGTGTCAAACAATCCTAAATCCATTTGTATTTCTTGTTTCCAGGCTCCTCACTTGATTCATTTGAGGGCAGGAGTCAAGATTGGGGAAATGCCACTGGCCGACAGCATACTCTGTGACGGGCTTACTGACGCATTCCACAGCTACCACATGGGCATTACAGGTAAGGCAGACACAGCCGAAAACAGACCAAGGGCGGAAAGGTTTACAAGAGATCCTATAATTGTCAGCTTTGCAGGTGCTCTCTGCTCTTGAAGGGCAGCGACCATGTCCTGATCATTCTGCATCACAGATGGCAGGGCTCCTTCCGCTTTGCTGAGCCCAACTGAGGAAATAGCATGTCCCCCCCGCTGTGACTCCTTGACCTTTGCAGGTTAGAGGTGGGCGGGGCTCCCGAGCTCTGAGCAATCTCCCATTTTACTGTGGGAAGAAACGAGGGCCCACGAACCGCGGTTGTGTGGCCAAGGCGGTTATCAGAGATGACCGGGTACTTCTCGTGCCTCACGCTGCCTTTGTGCTGTGCCACCCGGCCTGCCTTAGTCGCCTGCGGTCCAGGTGAACCAGCGGAGCAGCCAGAAAATCCAACGAGCTCCTGTCTTTCCCACTTTTGGAACGTAAAACTCAAGAACAGAAGGAACATTTCATTGTAGAGTTAGTTGAAGAAACAAGCCCTGAGAGGTTACACACCCTTAAATGTAGGTGGCAGTGGCTCTGGGTCTAGGAGAAGTAGAAGTCAGACGGAAGTCAGATGAGAAAGTGGGGGAAAGAGCAAGAGTCTAAGCAGAGGGGACAGTGTGTGTCCAGGCAGAGGAGCAGTGAGGAGCTAAGGCGTCTTGGCCCCCGTGAGCTACAGCAGCAGCAGGGATGGCTAGAGAGTGTGGCCACACGCCGGCAGCCTCTGTGTGCGCCGGGCCGGGGTCTTCCTGGTCGTCGAGGCCAGGCCAGGGGTTCTCGAAGTGTGTTACAACAGCTGACTGTCTCAACGTCACCAGAGGCTGTCCCTGAAAATCCAGCTCCCAAGCCCTTTCTGAGGTGTTACGGGCGGAATTACGACCTTCCAAAAGTCCTATGTTGAAGCCCAAACCGCAGGACCTCAGAACGTGACTGTATTTGGAGTTAGGGCCTTTTAAGGAGTAATTAAGTTAAAACGAGACCTTTACCGTGGCCCCAAATGCCGTCTAACTGCGTCCTTGTAAGAAGAGGACGAAATACGGGAGATGTGAGCCCGGGAGAAAGACCGTGTGCGGACTTGGCGAGAAGGCGGCTGGGAGCGAGGCCTCAGGAGAAAACAGACCTGCTCACACCTTGATCGGAGATGAGAAAATAAATTTCTGTTGCGTTTAAAAAAAAAGACTCAGGCCATGATGTAGTAATTAGTAAAGACTAGACTCTCTAATATAGACAAATATAAAAATGGTCAAAATATATCAAGCTACAGTTTTCTTTTTTTTTTTTTAAAGATTTTATTTATTTATTTGAGAGAGAGCACATGAGAGGGGGTAGGGTCAGAGGGAGAAGCAGGCTCCTCGCTGAGCAGGGAGCCCGATGCGGGACTCGATCTAGGGACTCCAGGATCATGACCTGAGCCGAAGGCAGTCACTTAACCAACTGAGCCACCCAGGCGCCCCAAGCTACTGTTTTCAAATACTGACCAACAATCATATAAGCCTGAGATTCTGTTTTTTTTTTACACGCTGCTGGGGCCCTTATTTGTGAGGACCTTCCAGAACCCTCCACATTCCCACTCAAGGCTCAGCCCCCAGCACCCCACAGCTCGGCCTCTTGCAGGCTCCTGGCAGGGGGTGTCTGGAACAATCCAAATTAGCAGCCACCCCCCACTCCCCTTCTCTCTGCTTCTGGACAAAGGCTGTCACTCTGGGGAAGGTCCTGCATGTTCTCCACAGTGATGCAGGCATCTCCAGTGGGCGTGGCCTCAGGAGCAGGTTGTGGGGGACGGTTGCCAGGAACTGCTCCCACTCTCTTGCTGGTACCTCCTCTGCTCCTGGAGGGCTTGTTCTAGCAAGGGTAGATGCATTCCTTCCACACAGTCAGGGCTTCCCCACGGAGCCTCCGTCTGATGCCTATCAGCTCTTTCCTCCTGTCAGCCTTGGGAAACCCTGCCTCCTAGATTTATATAGAGGAACATGTTCCTCCGTTTCTGGTGTTCGAGCTCCCCAAGGACAAGGTACTGGGAGTCTAACTGGGCTTGGAACGGCTCCACCAACTTGGTGCAGACCAGGATCCTGTGCTGTCAGATCCATGCTGAGCCCCCAGGGTCATTCGGGATTGAGTCATGTCACACAGCCACAGCCTGCTGAATGTTCTCAGTGTGCCCATGTCCGGATCTTGGCCCAGGGGAAGTAATAGACCCCAGGTTTGGGCAACATCCGAAAAAGTTGAGAGAGCTGTTTGAAGATTCCTGTCAGGGCACTGGGGCCTCAAGTTCCCTCTTTCTGCCCCACAGAATCCCGTGATGAGGGAGGGGCAGGTTAGCAGAGCACCTCGCTTTCCCCCACCCAGAGCAATTTGTTGCCCTTCTTCTGGGGTCCCCTCCCCAGGGGGCTGCTCTAGGGCTCCCCTGGACGAGAGTGGGGGACTTGCCCACACCAACCCCACCTCTACCTCAAATGCAGTCAGTTGCAAGACTGAGATTCTTTTTTTTTTTTTTTTAAAGTAGGCTCCACACCCGGCGTGGAGCCCAGCGTGGGTCTTAAACTCATGACTCTGACATCGAGACCTGAGCTGAGATCAAGAGTCGGATGCTTAACCGACTAAGCTACCCAGGCGCCCCGAGATTCTTGAAAGAAGGGAAAACTCCACTCTCACTGACTTTCTACCTGGGGGGATGGTGGCCATTGAACTGGGGAGGCCGAGGTCAGAGTTTGGAGCTGCTGAGATTCCTGGAGTTTGAGGGGCAGAGTACTGGAGAGAACGAAGCTAGGAAAGGAGCTCCAGAAATCTCCATAAGGGTTCCCTCATCTCTTGGGTCAAATACTCAGCTATGCATGTGTAGGACAACACCCTACCAGGTCCAGTAGAAACAGCTGCTAGGGAGTTGTGAATTGATTACTTGGAGACATAGGAGTTCTGACCATGCAGAGTAGAAACTTCACTGAACCCACTGGACACTCCATTGACATCTCAGAAAGACCACAGTTTAGGGGCAGGGTTCCTCTAGCCCCAGAGTAAAGACTACTCTAGACACAAACTAATAAGCTTAAAAAAATAAGCTTCAAAAGGATCCAGATGATCTGCCAGTATGTTAGTGGGAATGAAACTCAGTATGCTTGCTAAAGATAATAAAATCCAGATGTTCAACAGTATAGCAACTGTGTAATGTTCAGGATGCAATAAGAAAATCAGGAATGTGAAAAGTAGTGGGTGAAATTGGATGAGGAAGAAGACATTTCTTCATAATGTCAAAATAACTTCCCGTAACTTCCTGATTAATTATAAATGGAGGGACACCTGAGTGGCTCAGTCAGTTAAGCATCTGTCTTTGGCTCAGGTCATGAGGGTCCTGGGATCGAGCCCCACGTCTGGCTCCCTGCTCAGCGGGGAGTCTGCTTCTCCCTTTCCCTCTGCCCCTCCCCCTGTTTGTGCTCTCTCTCTCTCTCACTTGCTCTCTCAAATAAATAAAAATTTTTAAAAAATTATAAATGGAAAAATAGTAACTTTACAGTGTAGAGACACTTTAACCAAGTGATCAAAGCTCACACCACCTGAGATAAACTAATATCACAAGTATCCTGATAAGATTCACTGAGAAGGTCATGTCAGTGGGATACCTGCTTTTCTGCAAAATCTTAATCTAATCTTGAGGAAATCTGAAACCTAAATTGGAGACATTTGATAAAAGAACTGGCCCCTGCTCCTCAAAAATATCAAGGTGAAGAAACACAAAGACAGTGTGAGGAACTGTTCCAATAAAAGGACACTAAAGAGATTGCCAGTGAAGTGCAAGGCGTGATCCTGGACTGAACATACAAATTAGCCACAAAGGACATCCCTGAGACACAAGGTGAAACTGGAATATGGACCAAGAATTAGATAATAGGCCTGTGTCAGTGTTAAATTTCCTGATTTTGAGAGCTGTGCTTATGTAAGAAAATGGCCATTTGGGGGAAATATACAACGAAATTAAAATTTAGGGATAAAGAGGCATGATTATAACTTTTTCTCAGATGGTTCAGAGAGAGAATGATGAAGTAAATGGGGTAGAAATATAAACAGTTGGTGAATCTGCATGAAGGACATTTCTGAAAGTCGACGGTTAAAAAGAAAGGAAAAGAGAAGGAAGGAAGCAAAGAAAAAAATGACTTCTTAAGAGTCGCTGCAGCCTCCCTGAATTCATCGCCCGTGGGAGGCCAGACGGCTGCAGAGCACTGTCTCAGCCTGTCAGCGGGCCTGCTTGGCGGGGGGGGGCGGGTGCAGTGCTCGGTTTCAGGTGAAAAACCTGAGCTACTAAAAGCCAGTTCCTGAAAATGTTTGTCTTTTGCTTTATTACTATTATTTTCTTTCACAGCTGAAAATGTAGCCAAAAAATGGCAAGTGAGCAGAGAAGATCAGGACAAGTTTGCAGTTCTGTCCCAGAACAGGACAGAAAGTGCGCAGAAAGCTGGCTATTTTGACAAAGAGATTATACCAGTTTTCGTATCTTCTAGAAAAGGTGAGTATATAGATTGTAATGGTTTGAACATTGGCGTGCCTATTTATAGGTAAGAGTAATACTCCAAGAAATAATACACAGGAATGTCTATACATCGTGTCTTAGTTATGTCTTTTGGGTTGCAAAGAAAAGATTGATCTTGGATACGCCTGAAAATGGCAGGGTGGGGGTCTTGTTTATGGGGTGCTGGGGGCTAAAGAACATGGGACACTGTGTCAGCACCGAGCACCCCTGGTCCCAGAGTGTGCACACCGTTCTGTAGATGGAGCAGGTTTTGTGTGAGAAACTGGAGCATTGGCTCATGGTCGTTAGGAGGCAACAGTGACGTTTTGCCCCTCCAGGCTCAGTCTCCTCAGAACATCCATTACTTCCTGTATGTGTCTGTATACATTTCATATTTCATGAGGGTGCATGTTTTGGGGTCCTTTGCTGTTATCTAATATGGAATGCTCCGGTCAAAGAGCTGTTACTGAAAACTGTTCTGTTGCCCGTAAGTGCCATCGCTTATGTCCAACCCTTAGGAGAGTGCCTTTGACGTTCCCTCATCATGTCGGTTGTAACCAGCAAGTCCTACGCCCCACACCTTAGCCACCTTTTGCACGAAGAACTGCCTTCCTCAGAAGGGGCTGTGGATGTGGAAAACACTCAAAGTATCTCATGAGGACAGTGCTTATGAAATGTTTGAACATGCAACTTTTTTATGTGTGCTTTCCTGTTGGAATGCAAGTATTTTTTAATAAATTTTTAAATAAACCTTTCCAAATCTGAAGCCTCACGCATCATGTTCGAGAACTCCGCCATTCCTAATACATTCACGGCCATCTCTGTACTAATTTTGGTTAATTCATCTTCCTTTGCTCAGGTCTTACTGAAGTGAAAGCAGATGAATTTCCTCGCCATGGGACCAACATAGAAGCCGTATCAAAGTTAAAGCCTTACTTTCTTACAGATGGAACAGGGACAGTCACCCCAGCTAATGCTTCAGGTTAGATTTCCCAAAGGGCAGTTGGGGGAATACCATCTTCTGCTAGGTCTACCAAATTAATGCCTTTTTCATTTCATTTATTATTTATGTACAAATTATGCTAAGACCTTTAGTTGCTTGAAGGGAAGATGTAGTTTCTCGTATTTGATCATTACTTATCATCGCCCTATTTTCGACTTAACCTATGTATTAAAGAATGAATTTGACTTCCTGACATCCTAACTAGACATACAAATGAAAAAGCAAACTAGGGAACCAAAGTTTCATCTCCTACCTTGATGCTTTTCCGAAACCAGAAACTCCCAATGCCTTATGTGAGAGCAAGGCTCTTTCTCCCATTTCTTCTCATTACTCTTCCCTCCCCCAGTCTTGTAAGCTTTCCACTTCCTTTGGTTAGAATGTTGTGGTCAATTAGGTCATATTACCAAACTTCGCATTTCTAACTACACTGTAAAACAGGAATTATGGCACGTGACTTTGCCAAGATGTATTAAGAATAATTGGACGCATGTGTCCAGGTGTTAGAGAAAGTAGACACAGGTACAGAACTCAAATTAATGAGCATTTCAGAAATGAAGACGTTCGTATTTTACAGGAATAAATGATGGTGCTGCAGCTGTGGTTCTTATGAAGAAGTCAGAGGCTGCGAATCGAGGGCTCACACCGTTAGCACAGATAGTTTCCTGGTCACAAGTAGGTGTGGAACCTTCCATTATGGGGACAGGACCAATTCCAGCGATAAAGCAAGCTGTGAGTTTAATTCTGAATGTTAGCACCTGTTCTTTGTTGGTAGAACGAACCTCTTTGGGACCAGACCAACACCCTGTAGTTCCCTTTTCAGTTCCGCCTCTTAAACCTTGGCTCAGATCCTCTCCACTCCAAAATGCCAAGGTTGAGCTTTTGTTTATTCCGATCCTATTTCATTTGCTTTGTTTCTCTTGTATGAAAGCCTTCCCATTAGCCTTCAATGAGCTTATTCATGTAGTTTTATCTCTATAGTCTCCTTCCCTGCCAAAAACAGCCGAGAACATTTGGATCGTAACGCTTTTTAGCGGAACTGATGAATCACCTAGATCATCTCACCTACGCTTAACGTGTTACTGGCTTCAAAACTTTTTTTTAGAATCCAGAGGAATGTTTTATCCATAGTCTTAGAATTGGTATCACTAGGTTCATGTGGGAACCCTTAAGAGATCCTTTAATATCACAGTCTGTTGTTCTAGTATCTACAAGAAAGATTCCACCTGGGTTTTTAGACCTCTGTTCCATTACTCTTTCCCTTAGGTTGCAAAAGCAGGTTGGTCCCTGGAGGATGTGGACATATTTGAGATCAACGAAGCTTTTGCAGCCCTCTCTGTTGCAGTAACTAAAGAACTGGGATTAAAACCAGAGAAGGTAAGCCTGAGCAGGCAGTCCCCAGGACAGCAGGCAGGTGAACATTTGCAATGCAAATTTGATTGTAAACAGCAAAACCTAGGTACACAGAGCTCCACAGTGTGGCAGGTACTGGCCGTCTCGTTAACTGGGCGGACACTGGGAAGCTCCTGCTGGGATTGGTTATTTTATTGCTTCCCAGGGTGAAACCCCTGGACTCCACTCACTTTTGACACAAACAGAGCATTGTGACTCTTCTAAACTGGTAAGGTAGGGTGGATGTCACATGGGTATAAAGTTCCTAAGCAGTTAAAATAAAAGTGGAATTTGAAAGGACAGTTTACTGGTGTAACATTAAAAGGGAAAAGATAATTTAGGATTTTTACCCTATGTCCAGAGAATAAATGGTATGTATCCTTTCCCTCTTAGGTCAACATTCAAGGAGGGGCTATAGCCTTGGGCCACCCTCTTGGAGCATCTGGCTGTCGGATTCTTGTTACCCTGTTACACACGATGGAGCGGATGGGTGGACACCGTGGTGTTGCTGCCCTGTGCATCGGGGGTGGGATGGGCATAGCCATGTGTGTTCAAAGAGGATGAAATTGCTTAACAATTAATCATGCCTAAACTCAACTGGAACCTAATCTCTTTTTAAACTAAAAAGGTACTAAATTACAGTATGTGAAATCACAGGACCAAAGTGAGGATGGAAAACATCTTTCGTAAGAACCCAAGGCTTGACAGCTTGTTATTTTTTAATGTGTAATACTCGAGGAACAAGAGAAGTGCATCCAACATTGTTATAAATAAAAGAGAAAGCAGATCAGTCATCAAGGGCTCCCGAGTGAACGGCATCTTCGTAACCTCCATGCTTGTCATCTTTGCTCTCAGGGTGTAATTTGATGAGATCATCAATTCGAAGAATGGTAATTGCAGCTTCTGTTGCAAACTTCAAACTCTTTACTTTCACTATGGTTGGTTCAAACACCCCTGCTTGTTTGTTGTCTCGAGGTTTACCATTAACCAAATCAAGGCCAATCCTGCAATTAAAAAAAAACAAACGATAAACGGGTTCTTATATAATGTAGACCAATCCCATTCCAGCTCTTTAAATCTGGCCACTCCACTCAAATGTTCATCTTGGAAAATGTTGGGACCTTATGGTAGACCTCTAAGACTACAGTAGCTGATGACAAGTAATGAGAAGTACTGAAGGAGTTGTAGAAAGGTTAGAGGATAGTACAAATACTGTTTCTAAACATCATTTAACATCTTAAACAGGGACAGCTTCAGAAGATTCAGATCACCCCAAAACAATCCCCCTCTGCCTCTGGGACCCTTGTATAGGTACAGGGACTACCCAGAGAAGCAGGAAGAGATTTGGAAATCAGAGATGCTAACTAAAATACACCCACACTAATACAATCACTAGCTATCACCTTTCTTGAATTTAAAACAAAGCTAAACTACCACATAGAATACACGGATGACCATGAAAGAGACAAACTGTATGCTTACCATTTTAGATTTTTGCGTTCTGGGTTAACTTGAGCCTCATTATGGAAAGCTCTTAACTTTGCAACCAGATCTGTGGAGTCTTGGGCAGCATTAACTGCCAGTGTGTTGGGAATAACAAGAAGAGATCTTGCAAACTCCGCGATAGCAAGCTGTTCCCGAGACCCCTGAGAAGAAAGACAACGAGCTGTCTTCACAAAACCCACAGCAGCAGTGCCGGCCTCAGAGAAGGCCTTAGCAACCAAGTGCCAGGGATGGTGTCCCGTGCCCTTCTTGAAAAAGACACATTATTAGATCTTCTTACCATGCTGGTTGCGTAGTTCTCAAGGTATATGGAAAGGGCTGCTTCTACAGCACCCCCACCTGGCACCACAGATTTCGACTCCAAAACTCTCTTCACCACACAAAGAGCATCATGTAAAGAGCGCTCCATCTCGTCACACATGAAATCATTTGCCCCACGTAAGATAATTGATGCAGATGTACGAGCCTTAGTGCTATTCAAAAAAATAAAGAATTCTGACATCAGTACTTTTATAAAATAAATCTACACAGAAATTCACTGTAAGCACCTTAACTGAATCCTGCTCACACAGTTCATTCAGACACAGAGCAGCAGTGTCTGGGCTGCGCAGAGGAGATGAAATGGTCACTCCACCTCCATTAACCACGGCCTAACATTGTTCTCTCCCATGCGTATAACCGCTCCTATCACTGAAAGACTAGAGCAGCAAATCAATGGGAAGGTGATCTACTCACTAATAAAATCTGTACAGCTTTGTAATTTAGAAAGCAGCTTACTTTTTGATCAAGATCAGCTCATCATCACAAATTCTCTCCTGTACCACCTCTTCTGCTTGTCCCAGCATCGAAGCTTCAAAAGTTTCTTCTCCTTCCAAATTGGCCAGGGTTGACAGAACAGTTGCTATTAAAATGATGACAAAGATCTGTAAACATGGTTTTCCAATGAATGTTTTCCTATCCTGTCTTAAATTCAGAAACATTTATGATAAAAGCAATGTATAGGTGCAAATTTAAGGTTTGCAGTCAGGCATCAGACAAACCGCTGTCCTTTTATCCTAACGTGGAACTATGTCATTTTGAGGTAAAGAAATTCAGTCAGTTAAAGAACTTTTCCAGTAACATGACAAGTGGCTCTGTAAGATGTATCTGCAGCACAAAGCATTAAGGGAGTAAGTAAAAACTTTGTTTTTGAAGCTGCTCAGTGAGAACATCCCAACATAAAGAGACACGCTGGTGACACACCGCAGCTGGGAGCCAACAGAAGCCCTACCTCCAGAAGCTTTAGCGATGCGTTTGAGGTCCTTTTTTAAAACTCTTCTAACTGCCATAGCTCCTGTCTCCACAAAATACTTCAGACACATGTCGTCAATTCCACCGGTGGTTAGAATAACGTTGGCACCAGTAGCCAGGATCTTCTGGATCCGCTCCTTGGTGATATCAGATTCTCTACAAAGATATGATAACCCAAAGTTATCTTTTGTGTTGTTAATCTAGTTCTATCTTCCATCAAGTACTTTCCACAAAATAAGTGCACATTAAATTACATCAAACATTCCCTTCTGTGACCAAAATTTAAATCAATTTACAGAAAAGTTCAAATAATTTAAAATTATCACTTGTCTCCCCCACCCAGTGGGAGTTCCTAACCAAACACTGTGGTCAGGAAGGGAAGGGTGTGTCAACCATGCTCTGAAAAAGTGTTACTACAATGGAATGCAGAGATGGTGAGAGGCCAGACTCCAGCCTGCCAGGTGAGACAACGAAAGCCTGAAAGTCTGGAGTTAAGAGGGGTGCAGCATTGAAATGGCCAGTAGGACCAGAAAACGGAAAACCTTTTGTAGGGATGCTAGAGTGTGGACTGTTAGTTAGCAAGTTTAATATTTTTAAATAAGAGTATTATCAAATCTGTCTTCAAAAGGATCCCCTGACGTCAGGGTGGAGACTGCACTGGCAAGATGGAGGAGTGAGGTAAGGAGGTGGTAAATGGAGATCAAAGACCATGTCTGATGAGAACAGATGGTCCGAACAGAAGTCTCAGTTTATAGCTGAGGTGATGGGGAGGGTCAGTCAATGGTTCCTGGGCTAAAATGGTGCAGGATGAGAAAGAGTTCAGTTTTCAAGAGGTGCATCTGACGCCCCTGTGTTCTTCACGCAAGCCTGCCAAGAGGCAGGCAGACACAGGACGGAAATCATAAGCAAGCTATGTATGGGGAAGGGAAACAGATTTGAAGAAGGCAAAATACCAATCACTGAAATAATCTCACTTACCATTCAAAGAATTTTTTTTCCCCCCTAAGGTTTTTATTTATTTGACAGAGGGAAAGACAGCCAGAGAGGGAACACAAGCATGGGGAGTGGGAGAGGGAGAAGCAGGCTTCCCGCGGAGCAGGGAGCCTGATGCGGGGCTCGATCCCAGGACCCTGGGATCATGACCTGAGCCGAAGGCAGACGCTCAACGACTGAGCCACCCAGGCGCCCCACCATTCAAAGAATTTTTAAAGTAAAATGAATTCAAGATGAACCTCAAATTAACCTCCCTGAGAATACTGAGCTAGATGCCACACTGTGGGCAGGAGCTGCGAAGCCAAGCACATCCTTCAGGCTCTAACTTTAGAGCTTACAGTCTGAGTCCTACAAACACACAAAACCATGCTAAGGCCCAGGAAGATCAAGTACAGAACTCAGGGTAGAGTAGAATTTAGATCCAAGGAGAAAGAAAAGCTGCTTTGAGAGACTGACCAGCTAAAAAATAAGTAAAAAATTAACCAGTCAAAACCAGTAGGCTGAGAGTATGTCACAGGCAGAGGGAAGAACCTTACTAAGGACCAGCAGGGTAAGAGTTTGGAGGATCTTAGTTCCAGGTGTGGCCAGACCACAGCGAAAAAAACATGTAAGAAATTAAAATCTATCCAGAGCAATGGGAAACCTACAAAAAGCTCTGCCCTTGGAAGTGATGAGGTCAACGTGGCTGCTGTGTGGAAAACAGTCTGGGAGAGGGGACAAGAGTGAAACCCAGGTTGGGGCGCCTGGGTGGCTCAGTCGTTAAGCGTCTGCCTTCGGCTCAGGTCATGATCCCAGGGTCCTGGGATGGAGCCCTACATCGGGCTCCCTGCTCCGCAGGAAGCCTGCTTCTCCCTCTCCCACTCCCCCTGCTTGTGTTCCCTCTCTCACTGTGTCTGTCAAGTAAATAAATAAATAAAAATTTTTAAAAAAAGAGCGTGAAACCCAGGTGACCAGCTTGGCTTGGCTGCCTCTACAACAGCCTTGGCAAGAGATTTGATTAGAGATTAGGAGACAGAAAGGCACGAGGTACAAAGAGGAGTTAAGAATATTTCCTAGTTTTCTCCAAGGGCAAAAAACGGCACTAAAACGGCAAAAGTAGATTTATGGGTACCACCCTAAGTTCAGTTTTAAACATTGACTTTGGGATGCATAAGAAGTGTTCATAGGTGTCTGGAGCTCAGACAAACAGATTTGGAAGTCTCCAACACAAATAGTATCTGAAGTCCTAGGAGTGACAAGGAGTTATCCCGGGGACAGCAGAGCAGACCCCGGGGCTGCCCAGGCAGACAAATACAGACAGGGAAGTATCACAAAGCCACTCACCACCTCTCCCAAGTGTTCCAAGGGAGTAGTCAACCAGCTGGATAAAGGTCAAATGAAGATTCAAAGTGTCTAGTGAATTTTACCCTAGGCACCACTAGTGACTTTAGCAAATGGTCCTCCACTGGAGAACAGAACAGAACTGAGAACATGAGAAATAAAGTATCAGAAAACAGTTTTTATATAAAAAACTTGGGACATCCAGCTGTGAAGAGATGGGGAAGGATAGGGGGTACCGGGAGCAGACGGCTTTTATTTCTGGTTAAGAGAGCTACAAAGGGGCTGCAACTGGAATTTAGAAAAGGAAAGGAATAGAACTAGTAACGGAAGATGCAGCTTGAGAACACTTAAACTAGAGGAATTTGGTGGAAGAAAGGACAATTTCAGTTTATCGGGAAGAAAAAAAGTACATATGCAGATCTAAAAGGAGACAGCATGCCTGACTCTTGGCAAAGATTTCTTGTAGGTTTGGGTCAATTACTGTTTATTTTTTAACAAACCAACTAACCATTAAAAAAAATATGTGAACGATACGGGTCAAGTGGAAGCAGGCAGTCAAACTGAACTCTAGCTCTCTAGCACGCTAACCAGTCCATAACCATGTAGTATCCCCTAGCACCTGGTGTACAGCAAGCATGCAATCAACGCTATACTGCTTATCTGAGGAATTACATTCTTGGATGTATCTTTAATGTTAATCACACACAGAATCAAAATTTTCATAGTACTTTTATCACCGAATCTATCTTAAAACACCAAGCCACCACCATTTTCTAACTTTCCAGCAGAAGTTTGACTTCGGTTAAAAATTAATTTTTCGGGATGCCCGGGTGGCTCAGTCGGTTAAACATGTGCCTTCACCTCAGGTCATGATCCCAGGGTTCTGGGATCAAGGCCCGCATCGGGTTCCTTGCTCAGCAGGGAGCTTACTTCTCCCTCTGCCTCGCCCCCTGCTCATCCCCCCACCCTCTCAAATAAAAAAAAAACCACAAGCTTATTTACTTATTTTCTTTCTTCATTTATTTGACACAGAGAGAGAGAGAGAGAGCACGAGCACACAAGCAGGGGAAATGACAGGCAGAGGGAGAGGGAGAAGCAAGCTCCTCACTGAGCAGGGAGCCTGATGCAGGACTCAATCCCAGGACCCCGGGATCACAACCCGAGCCGAAGGCAGACACTCAACCAACTGAGCCACCCAGGCGTCCCCAAAATAACCAAGTTTAAAAAAAATAAATAAAAATTAATTTTTCAAGTCCTCCAAGACACCCACACTTAAGATAATCCAGTTGCATCATCACCATTCTCTGCTACCTGGCAACTGGTTGATTACTTGCTGTTACCTAGGAAGTGTAACATTCCTTGTTTTTATTTTTTTTTTAAAAAAGATTGCATGGGGGGGCAGGGGGCAGCAGAGGGACAGGCAGACTCCCTGCTGAGCACAGAGCCCATAAGGGGGCTCCATCTCAGCACTGAGATCACGACCTGAGTCCAAGTCAGATGTTTAACTGACTGAGCCACCCAGGTGCCCCACTCCTTGTTTTTAGTATACTTTTTTTACTGTCACCTGCTCTAAAAGAAGTATAACTTACAAACACCTCTTTCAAAGGTCAAAAATAAACTCTCAACATACCTCTGTCTAATCTGGTCCAGTTTCTCAGGGTCTGTAATAACCACTTGTACACCAAGCTTCATTTTTGTTTTCTGCAGGCTGAAGTCAAGGCAAGCAATTTTTGCATTAACTATTCTTTTGGTCATGCCTATAATTGAACATATTAAATTCTTTTGTAAGAACTGTAACAATGTTACAATTTAAAAATACAGCTATTCTTAAAGCAGGATAAAAGTAGTGAGAAATATTAAATTATACTATCCTTAAAGACAGAAATTTACATTTTTATTACATTTAACCCTACAAATTTTTATGGCCTCTACCCATGTACTTTGTTTAACTTGCATTTTTCCTAAGTTTTATGTGCTTAAGTTACACAAGCGAAACTGAAAACCTAGATGTACAATTTCCTTTTCCCCTGGGCTTTCCTAAAGAACAGTAAGTGCTAGTCTTGGATAGCTCACCTAAAGGACGTATATAGTATGTAGTCCACAAAAAGCAAATTTTAGCCTTTAGTATCAAATCCTAAGCCTTACCCTGGGATCCCACCACACAGTTGAGTGCATAGCCATTGATGAGCATACTCTCCATCTGACTTCTCCCATGGGCTTTCAGAACATTAACGGAATTGACTGGATAGCGAGGCTGGCCTCTTACGTCTGTGTATTTAACTGCAAGTACAGCATCTACTACCATATTGGCAAAAAAATCACCACTTCTAAGCCAAAAGTTAAGGAGAACAAGAGACATGGAATGGACAATGGGTGCACACAAAAATCAAGGGAATTCAAAGGCACTTCTTTTAGCAATCTCATCAAAGAAACAAGCATTAATTATGCCATCAAAATACTGGAGTACTATTTATCATTGCTTGCAATTCATATTACTATGACACTTTATTATCTCTCCCCCTAGAAAAGCAAGGAAGGGAGCAAATAATTTTAATACAGTTATCACTCAGCACAAAAACTAACCAAGATCTTGCTTTCAAAAAAGCCTAAACTTGATTGAACCATCACAAGGATACATTCCAATGATTTTGGAAGACATCGATGTCTTAGCGGCATTGATCAGGCAATCTCTTCCAAGTTCATCTGTGTTAATAATTAGATTTTCACTGATGTATCGTACTGCCTCCCTGTTTGAAGTGTGTGGGAGAAAACATTTATAAATTCACTACTCAAGCTTTTTTGTTTTATCACTGTCAAAATGTGTTAGGCACCAATTTTCTGTTTGGCCATTTCATATAGGAGGAGGACACAAATAAATCCTCCCTCTTCAGATCATGGCAGTCTTAATATATCCCATAAGCATAGCCACCAAAATCTATTATTGGGAGAAAATGTGGTAGTCAAATGGGAAAAAAAAACACCACACTACCCTACTTCTTACTTCAAGTATTACTATAGAACAGCATTTTTTCAAAATAAAATTTAGTCATTAACATTTCAACAACACAAACTGTTTACAACTATAACATCACATACTGTAAAATTTTCTCTGAATGCAAACAAGCTTACTTGCAAGCAAGTCGATAGCCACTAATAACTGATGTGGGATGAATTTTCTGTTTGACTAGTTCATCTGCATTTTTAAGAAGTTCTGCTGCAATAATAACCTGTTGAGAAAACATTCATCGCTCTTAGTCTGACAACATGTGCAATGTGTATGTAAAAACAACACTAAAATGATTAGCTTTATCAACCAGAATGCTTATGATGGTAAATAACTGTTTACTGGGAATCTGAAAAAAAAAAAAAAAAAAATAACTGTACAGTTTTTTTTTTTGAGAGGAGAAGAGAGAATCTTAAGCAGGAGGCATGGAGCTGACAAGGGGCTAGATCTCACAACCCTGAGATCATGACCTGAGTCAATTAACCGACTGCACCACCCAGGTGCCCCTTACAGTGTTTTATATGCGAATGGCCAAAGGCTGATAGGAGCCTGAAAACTGTTCTGGCTTACAAACCAGTTCTGCAGAACAATAGTAGAGAACTACACATCTACTACCTTTAAAGATTAAGTGCTCAACAGGAACCAACTGAAGACTTTACTACTCCTATGATCTATATTGTTTTAGATTATTACTTGGTTTATTTTAAAAACCATTCTTCTATGTGGTGTATACACACACACACACACACACAATGGAATATTAGTCATCATAAAAGAAAATCTTACCATGTGCAAGGGCATGGATAGAACTAGAGAGTATTATGCTAAGCCAAATAAGTCAATCAGAGAAAGACAATCATATGATTTCACTCATGTGGAATTTAAGATACAGAACAGGATCATAGGAGAAGGGAGGTTAAAACAAAATAAGGTGACAAAGAGAGGGAGAAAAACCATAAGAGACTCTTAATCTTAGGAAACAAACTGAAGGTTGCTGGAGGGGAGATGGTGGTGGGTGGGATGGGGTAACTGGGTGATGGACATTAAGGAGGGCATGTGATGTAATGAGCACTGGGGGTTATGTGCAACTGAGGAATCACTGAACTCTACTTCTGAAACTAATAACACACTGTGTGTTAATTAACTGAATTTAAATAAAATAAAAAAAAACATTCTTCTAAAGACATTAAAAAATCAAAACTCTGCTTCTTCTGGGGAAATTATAATCACTTTATTTTTAATAATATTGTAAACAAGTTACTTAGAAACTATTTTTGTTATTTCAGAAGAGGTAGATTCCATTTTTTCATGGTTTGAAGTTTAATCTAGAAATATAAACATTTTCCCCACAAACCACTGCCTGTTTTAGAGCAAACTATTATTTGCTCCTTACCAAGTAGTAGTGTTTCTATACTACAAAGCACACTACATCAGTTTGCTGGATGATCCTGAGAAGTTTGTATCATGTTATTTTTCATGTTTACTTTCTTGCACTCCCATTGTGAACTCTCAAGATTGCCCATTAGCATTTAATATAAAACATCTTTTTTTTTTTTTGGTTTAAAACCAGTAACATTCTTCCCCTAGCTAGCTATAAAGAGAAGATTTTTAGGAACTTCTAAGTTTCAGGTAGTGAGAGAAGAAAACTTTTTTTTTAACAAGGGGCTTGAACTCAGGACCCTGAGATCAAGAGTCAGACGTTAACTTACTGAGCCACCCAAGCAATACAGAAACAGAACTTTAAAAAAAAAAAAACCCTCTGTATGCGATGTATACATATTGTTGTAGCTGAAAAACTCATGAAACTTGTGAAAATCCACATTTAAAATGAGTCAACTATATTATCTCTACAAACTAGCCGTAAGTACTGATTTTCAAATTCTGTTTCTGAATCATTATGCCAGAAACAACTTCAATTTTCTCACTTTTAAGTATATAACTTATTTCTGACTCAGAAACAAATGACTTGGTTATGGCTTCACTTTGTCGCAAGTTCAATTATGGGAAAACAACTAATCTACAGCCATCTACCAGGTGACAAACTACCTACCACTGAGGTGGTTCCATCTCCCACTTCTTTGTCTTGCAGATCAGCTAGCTCACAAAGAACTTTAGCTGCAGGATGTTCTACCTCCAGTAACTTCAGGATGGTTGCACCGTCATTAGTAATGGTTACATCCTAAGAAATTTGCAGGGAAGAAAAAAGACAACACCATCACTGGCAAACACAGGGCATCCTTTAAATTAACACAAATCCATTATCACCTTTACCACACCTTCCAATACCAGCATTGTGATAAAAACAGAGAATTCACATAGCTAACTGCTTAAGCACTGTTATTTTCCTTTAAAGTAACAAACAGGTGTACTTACACCAATATCATCCACCAACATTTTATCCAAGCCAACTGGACCAAGAGAGCTTTTTACAATATTGGCAATGGAAGCCGCAGCCATGACTGTAGAAATGAAAAAAAAAAAATTAAATCCACTGCCCCAAATGCTAGCCATTCGAGCTTAAAGTGAGTAAATGACATCCAACAGCCTCCGGATTTCCCAAATCTACACATCTATCCTTAATTACTTAAAATAAGATGGGCAGGCATCCATACATTCAACGTGTACGCGCTCTCAAGAGGCTCAACAACAACAAATGCCTAATTCGTACCGTTTGCTAGGAAAAACCCACTTTAAGTACCACGTAGGCTAACGTTCAACTGAAATTTCCTCAACCAACCGCACCGTCAAAACCTGTCAGCGATGGGCGGGTAAGAATCGGAACCGGACACGGAGCACCCGGCATCTACTGCAGAGGCCAACCAATGGGGTACAAGGGGCAAGTCATCTGGACTGCGGCCATTCGTTCCTCAGCGAAACGAGCAATTAAGACTAGTCTCTGGCTAATGGTCCTAAAACGAGGCGCAAAGGTTGAGATACACGCTCATGCTGGTCACAATCGGAACCTGAGAGGCGCAGGGCACCCGGACCAAAGGGGACTCGAGGCGTGACCGGCACGTGTCCCTGCGGGGAGCTGGCTCTCCAGGCCCGGGAGCGCTTTTCTGGTTCCAGGGCCCGGGCACCCGCGGCCCACCACACGCAGCGGGACACATCCCCAAAACGTGCGGGGCTCTCCGGAATTCCTCGCCTGCGGGGAAAGGGCGCTGCCGCCCACCGCGAAGTGGCGGACCCCAGGCCCTCCCCCGGGAGAGAAAGGGAAGGCACCGCGCCCGCAGCCGCGCACCGCCGTGGGCCCGGCCCAGGCCTTGTTCGCCCTTACCGTTCTGGGAGCGGATCGCCTCCCCAGTGCTGCGGTCTCCGAACACCGACAAAGGCCCCTCCATCTTCGCGGCGGGGTACACGTCGAGTTTCACTCTCACTGCGGGAAACCAGCGTCTGGGTCCCTAGGCCCGGCGGCGGCGGCGGCGGCGGTGGCCGTGGCGGCTAAGGCGTGGAACCGGCCCGAGCGAGGCCGCGGGGACTGCTGGGAACACCGGTCCCCCCGCCCGGCCGCGGGGCAGGACGGGAACGAAAAAAGGGATGGGGGGAGCGAAAAGTGCGGAAGAGCAGGAAGGGAGGAGCCGGGAGGGGGCGGGCTCAGCATTTTCGCCCAATTAGAGAACGAATAAGAAGGGCGCGAGGGTAGGAGAACGGAAGTAAGGATCTTGCCCGGGAGAAGGAAGGAGGTGCTCGGCTGAAGCTTCTCCTCCCCTCGTCCAGGCACGGGTTGCGCGTGCGCCTTCGCACATTCTAGTGCCTTCTAGAAAAAGTGGACGGTAGGGCGGGGCTTGGAGTTGGGGTGTGACGAGAGAGGGCGGGCCCTTCACGGGAAAGCTGGCTTTCTGAGCTAGTCCCGCGTGTTCGCTTTTAACGGTCTTCGGCGAGCAGGTGGCGAGTCACGAGCTTGGTTCCTGCTCTCACGGGCCTAAGCTGGGGGCCTGAACCTGGGTTGGACGGGCAAGAGCTTTACGTGGGCCATACGGGAAAAATGCCAACTACGGTTTCTGAAGAGAAACTGCATCTCGCGCTGCCCCCGGTTTCTCCCACTCCCCAGGGGGGCTGCGTGTGGCTCCAACAACGATCGGCCGACGCTTTGCGACCCCAATGCCCAAACAAAGAAACGTGAAATTACCGGAGCCTCGCGCCCGCCACTCTGGCGAAACGCTGCGCCTAAACTAGTGGGTTGCGCCCCGCCCGCAAGCGCGTTGCGCCAGTGGTTGGCGGGCTCCGGCGTCACGTGCACTGCATGGTAGGCAGTGATTGGAGGAGCAGAGGCAGCCGCTCGTCCCGTCAGCCGCTCGGCGGCGGGGTTTGTTAGTTCCGGGTCGAGCCGTAGGTGACCTCCTGAATCCAAAAGCTTTTCCCTGAGTTAACATGGCTGCGGCCGGCAAGCGGCCGGGACGCCGATGAGGAGCGGACGCGAGGCTTTTCCGAGGTTTTGCCCGCGATCCCTCAGCAATGGCGCTCCGGTCGCGGCTCTGGGGGAAGCTGTCGGTTTGCAGGAACCCCGGTAATTCCCGCTTCTCTCAGATGACTCCCCAGGGCCTGCACAGTAATGGGCATATGCAGGTCGTGTTTTCAGTTCAACCCCCAGCGGACAGTAAACTGGCTAACAGCGTTGTGGCGACCGTAGTAGGAAATTAAGCGGGGTCTGTGATGACTGTACCCTGTGACCAGATTTACCTCCTCTCTCCTTTCCGGGGAGTGGATGGGGTAGAGGTTGGGTCATACTCCTGTTTTGTCCGTGTTTGTAATTTTTTAAGATACATGTGGTGGCTCCCGTTCTTAGGGTGTGGGGTCGCAGCGCTCTCAACCAGTTGCGAGCCAGCGGCGAAGCCTGAAGTGGACCCTCTGGAAAATGCCGCTGTTGCCCCAGAGTTCACCAATCGGAACCCCCGCAATCTGGAGCTCTTAGGTGTGGCCAGGAAGGAGCGGGGTTGGGGGACAACGTGGCCCTCCCGTGAGTTCTGGCACAGGTAATTAAGTCGGCTAGTTAATCGACCCTACAGAGCGGTGCACGGTGCCCTGCAGATTGTTTTCATCAATTCAGTCAACGGCCCAGATATTTCTGGAGATGGTCTCCTCAGGAAGCCGCCATTTGGGGGTGGAGGAGGGGTTAGTGGACGGGGGTTGGGGGGATGTGAGGGGGTGGACCTGGAGGGACAAACAATAAGTAGGTGTCAGGGAGAAAATTTAAAGAGGATGATGTTAGGATGGGGAGACTGGGGGCCTGCTAAGGCCCCTTCTGAAAGATAAGACGATCTGCCAAGAAGAGCGTTCCCAGCAGAGGAAATGGCTGGGGTGGGGACGGGCTTGTGTGTTTGAACAACTACGAGGCCAGCGTACCTGGAGTCCAGTGTGCGGAAGGAGTGAATAGCGTAAGGTGAGGATGGACAGGTAGGTAGGAGACAGATCATTACCTTTGTAAATTGAAGTCAGCACCTCACAGTTTTTCACAATAGTGGAAGACAGAATTTAGTAAATTTTGAGGTTGAATTGAAGATCATTCCAGTTGCTTTGAGGAGAAATTTGTAATGGGGGAAGAATAGAAGCAGGAGGCAAGTTAGGAGTCTGTTCTTTGTTATGAAGATGGTTATTTATTGAACACTTTGTATTTGCCAGGAGCTCTTAGTTGCTTTATGTGCATTTTCTCATTTAACCCTTAAAATTACTTTATGAAGCAGATACAGTAATTTCCTTCATTTTATGGGAGCAAGAGAATGGAGGCTTAGGGGGACAAGGTTAATAAGCTCTAGAGCTAAGATACAGACATGTTTTGTCTGACCTACCTAAGATCCAAGACACTATAAATTATTACCACTTGCTGCTTTATGTTGGTGTTTATCTTCTGGTTATTTACTTGGTAAGCATTTGTTAAAAATGGAATATTTCTTAAGGACTATATAAATTGTAATTGGAAGTTAAATAGGAGGCATAACTATGTGATACATTCATTCAACAAACATTAGGCCTATGACACTTCATAGGCATTGTGCTAGATGCAGGACATGCAAAGAGAAAATACATCCTTGTTAGCAAAAATTTTAAGTTTTGTTGTGGACGATGGAATAGGGATAATAAAATTTTACAGTTGCTATGAAGCATTTTTACTTAGTGTACGTAGGAAGGAGTCAAAGGGAGTAGGCAGATCCCTTGAATTAATCTAAAATTCTTTTGACACATTCAACGTATTTACTTAATATTGGATCATTTAAATAATTAGAGATTTATTTTCCCACTTTTTTTCCCCTATCTGATATATTCACAGTATTATCAGTATAGAATTTTGGCATATTATAATAGGAAGTGACCTTAGAGAGGATGACTCCTATGCCTTTGTTGAACAAATGGTTTAAGACAAGGATCAGCAAACTATCGCCCATGGGCCATAGTTGGCTTGCAAGCTAAAAATTTCCTTTCTTTAAAACGTGAGAAAGAATTCCAAAGAATAATATTTTGTGATATGAAAATTATATAAAATTGAAATTTCATTATCCACAAAGGATGTTTTATTGTAACACACCACCACTCATTCTCACCTGGCTGTTCTAGTATTACTATGGCTGAGTTGAGCAGTTGCAGGAGACCCTGTGGCTTACAAAGCCTAAAACATTTACTGTCTGAGCCCTTATGGAAAAGGATTGTTGACCTTTGATTAAGAAATTGTGATTTTTACTAGGGCTGCCAGCAAAACCAGGTGTAGAACCCACATTTCTCAATCTAGTGTTTTTTCCTGCTGTTTCACACTAAGAATCCTGGTGTGACCTCTAATTTTGGTGTTTTATTTAATGTGAGCTTAATTTTTAAATGTGTAATATAAATGTATGCTATAAAATCCAAAGGGTAAATAGGTTTTATGTGTATCCTTTTGGAGATAATTTGTGCACATAAGTGTAAACTTAGTAGTTTTTAAATTACAAATATTAGGGCACCTGGGTGTCTCAGTCTGTTTTAAATCTAAGTGTCTGCCTTCGGCTCGGGTCATGATCCCAGGGTTCTGGGATCAAGTCCCACGTTGGGCTCCCTGCTCAGCTGGGAGCCTGCTTCTCCCTCTGCCAACCGCTCCCCCTGCTTGTGCTTTCTCTCTCTGTCAAATAAATAAATAAAATCTTAAAAAAAAATTTACAAATATTAGCATACCACGTACACTGTTTTTCATCTGAATCCTCCCTGCCCCCTTCAGAATCCATCTTGGAAATCCTTTCTCTTGTTTAGAACATTGGCTCTGGAGCCAGACCCCTGGACTGAAGTTCTAGCTCTGTTACTTACCATTAGTTGTAATCTTGGTAAAGTTACTAACCCTTTCTATGTCAGTTTCTGTGGCCTTAAAAAAATAGAGAAAGAAAGAAAAAAGAATAATGAGAGATCATTTTGAAACATGAGCTCTGCCTGTAAACAGGACAGTGCCTGGCATGGTAGGTGCTCAGTGAATGGCAGCTACTTCATTCCTTCCGGTAACTGGATAGAACACCACCGTATGGATGTTTTAGTTAGCTAGCTCCATATTGATGATTACCTTAATGATTCCAAACAATTTAGCAATGAATTGCCTTGTCCATGCATCTCATCAGTGAGATGGGCGTATTTTCATGGGCCTGAGAGTCTTTAATATTTTGTTTCTGTGAACAGTCTGTTCAGATCCTTTGCCTATTAAGGTATTGGTTTTTTTTTTTTTTTCAGATTATAGGAGGCTTTTTACATACGGAAATTAGCCCTTCGAATAAATAATATGTGTTTAAAGTATTTTTTGTTTCTTGCTGCCTTTTGACTTCAGTTTACTGTTTTTTTAACTGTAGAAAACTTTGGTTTTTCTTTATAAAAGCAGGATGACATGGTTTGATGTCCTATTTAAATAGGTTTACTATACTCTTAATCATAGGAAACAAACTGAGAGTTGCTGGAGGGGAAGAGGGTGGGGGAATGGGATAACTGGGTGATGGACATTAAGGAGGGCACGTGATGTAATGAGCACCGGATATTATATAAGACTGATGAATCACTGACCTCTGTCTCTGAAACTAATAATACGTTATATGTTAATTGAATTTAAATAAAATAAATAGACTTACTTTGAGGTTGTAAAAAACAATCTGCTTGCTAGTATTATGATTTCAGTTTTTAATTTAAATCTTTGATCAATCTTACATTTATTTTGGTGTTACTGGAAAGTAGAAACAGAGTAAGTATATCCTTACTCGTTGGAGGGTCACAGCTTAGCTCTGCCTCCTCAGATCCTTTTTTGAAGTGATGCTGTGTAATAATTCTCACATCTCAGAAATACCAAATTTCTCCTGGATATTTGAGATTAAGTGGAAATGTTTAGTTTATTGTTATTGAGGGTAACCTCATAAAGACAGGAAAAATAGCTTTCCCAAGTCAAATCCAGGTTAACTCTGTTCAAGTAAATGAAACAGACATTGCATTCTTGAGTAATGTGTAGGCCTTTATTCACCTGAGGCCTTTTATCTTTAGGATTCTTTTATGATTTTATTCTCTTCTCATCTCATTTAGGTTGCGAGTTATAAGGACTCAGCATCATGTAGAAGCGTTGGTTGAGCATCGCAACGGCCAGGTTGTGGTTTCAGCATCCACTCGGGAATGGGCTATTAAAAAGCATCTTTACAGCACCAAAAACGTGGTGGCCTGTGAGAGTATAGGACGAGTGCTGGCAGAGCGATGCTTAGAGGCAGGAATCAACTTCATGGTCTACCAACCCACTCCTTGGGAGGCAGCCTCGGACTCGGTATTTTGGTTTTCATGTACTTATTTTTAAAAGGTATGAATTCTTGACAGCAGGTGCTTACATAGTAACAATAGTTGGATTTATCAAGTTCTTTCCATGTGGCAGATCCTGAGGTGGGTATCCTGACATGTGTGACCTTATTCCATCTTCATAGCAGCCCAGAGGGTCAGGAGTAGTATGCCCAAGTCACCTGAGGCTGGCTTGTCCAGAGTGAGTCCAGGGTGACTGACTGTGCAGCCACGATGTCCCCCACTCTACTTCCCCGTTCATGTGTTGACATCTGGTCTGTATGATGAAACACCACTAATCTTTGACATCTCTAGAGTCTCTTATCTGTGTCATTATTAAGATCACTTTCTGGGAAATCAGTGTAGGCTGGGGCTTAGCAAGGAGCAAATCAGCTGTTTTAGTTCTCTTGGGAACGAACTGTTTCTTGTCAGCTTCTTTATTGCGCTAACTTAACCTTTTCCTTTTTTCGGATCTTCAAAACCAGATGAAGCGACTGCAGGGTGCCATGACGGAAGGCGGTGTGGTGCTGCAGGAGCCTCGGAGAATCTATGACTGAAAGAGGAGCATCGTTCCGAACGTGTGACTATAAAGCTGTGAGCCGTTGCGTCCTTCAGAAGGGAGCATCTGGAAGGACAGCCAGCTTGGAAGTTTTGTACAGTCATGTAACGGTGGAATGTTATCACTAGTTAAGGTCATCCCCTCCTCCTCTTGTGCGTGTGTGTTGGGGGGCGGTGGTTTAATTAAGGGCTAAATTCTTCCCCTTCTTGGACAGAAGTATCTGGGAAAAGCTGTTGCCAATTATAATTAACTTTGCAAGGACAAATTAAATGTTGTTTATAAGTTAAAGAATAAACGCAGATATGAGCACTTTCTGGTTACATGAAATCTTCTTTGCCTTTGAGCCCTCTGTGGCAAGAGTACACATAGGAGATTTGTGCAAACTACTTGTTACCATGTCCAGCTCATAGTGGTTAATTTCAATAAATGACAGCTGTTGCTCTTCAGAGTGTGGACCTTTTTTTAAAATAGGAACTGTCCGTATCAATTTATTACAAAGTCTTTTTTTTTTTTTTAAAGATTTTATTTATTTATTTGACAGAGAGAGACACAGCGAGAGAGGGAACACAAGCAGGGGGAGCGGGAGAGGGAGAAGCAGGCTTCCCGCGGAGCAGGGAGCCCGATGCGGGGCTCGATCCCAGGACCCTGGGATCATGACCTGAGCCGAAGGCAGACGCTTAACGACTGAGCCACCCAGGCGCCCCAATTTATTATAAAGTCTTAGTGCTGTGAAGATAGAAGGGGCAAATCGTGACCTTAGTTGGGCTCCTGAACCCTGACATGCAGAACCAGATGTGAAAGAAGAAAGAAACGCAGTGAGGAACTGAAAGTGGAGGTGGAAAGGAGCAGGGTTGGTGTATGCTCAGTTTGCCTTGAAAAGAGAATTTGTTGGATAGGAGATGAAGCTTGAAGTGCAATCACCTTAATCTAAAATGAAGCTGGGCTAAGTGGGAATCAACGGCAACTCTTTTATAGGGGTCGATTAAATCAAAATAACTTTCTGGCTATTTAAGACCAGTGCAATGAGAAAGAACCTGTAAGCAGTTAAGGCGGCTTCTAGAGCATTTCCCAATTTTTAAATGTGTATCCCAATTATATATTTATACAGAAGTGAAATAACATTACTATTTCTAATCCGAGTGTTTGGTATTTTAAAAAGATGGGTATGCACCAACATTTTTTAAAAGTATGATTGGTTCTGAGAGGATGCAGTGACTTAGTGGTCCTCTTGTGATCAATAAATACCCTAGTGGAGACATTTGAAAGTGTTTATAATAGGTCCGATATTTTCTTGCCTCATCTTAAAGACTGGAGCACTTCACTTTGAAGATTGTGGTTGTAGAAGGCTTTTCAAACAAGTCTGGTGTTCAAGGGCGGGTGTAAATACCGAAGACTGGACTAGTGGCTTTGGAAACTGGCAGTGACAAAAATAGGGTTCACCTGGAAGTAACGCTGTAGGTAGGGGTTTTCTCTGCAAGGAATAGGATGGTCCTAGATCATCTCTGCACCAAAGGTTTCCTCAGTTTGATAGGCAACTCCTGAGGGTCTTTGTGGCAAGTGTGAGAGATGGTATTACGGATGATGTTGCAGACAAAGTGGAGAAGATAGAGTGTGGGGGAGGGGACAGGGCCAGCTCACCAGGGGCCAAGTGCGAAGACGTGCAGATTTCAACGCGGACGAGATGGGGCCCTCCCCCGCCGCAGCTGCCGTGATTGCCTCCTTCCTGCAGTTCCTTCAGGCGCTCCCGCCCGGTCTGCACGTACCCTTCTTCCGCGCTGTTTTCTCCTACCACGCCTCTTAATACCCAGCTCTACGGAAGTGCCACCTTCCAGCGACTGCAGAGAGATCGCCGCCGCCAGGGGAGCCGGGCTCTGGCTGCGAAGGCGGGGCCTCCGGCAGCCCCGGCGGGCGGGCGAGGTGCGCAAGCAGACACCTGTGGGCGGGCAGGTGGCGGCACGCGGCCAATCGCCGTGCGAGCCCCTTAAGAAGGGCGGCGCGGCGGAAGCGCGTGGCAGCGCGTGGCCGCACCGGGCGCCTTCGGCCGAGCTGCGCGGCCATGGACGTGGGCGCCGACGAGTTCGAGCAGAGTCTCCCTCTGCTGCAGGAGCTCGTCCTGGGCGCCGACTTCGTGGGTGAGGCGCGGGGGAGTCGGGCCTGTCGCCAATCTGCTCTGGGGGGCGCGAGCCTGCGGGGGCGGGGCGGAGCGGGGAGGTGGGGCCTAGCGGGGACGGACTCCAGGCCGCGGGAGGCTCCGAGAGGGCCCCCCCGAAGGGCGGGAGAGCCCTCCGGCCGGGCGGTGAGACGTTAAGCAGCACTTGCGGCCTTGGCCCCACTGTGGCCCAGGTGGAGCCGAGCCCATGGGATGACTGGCCTGGCGTATCCTTGCTTTGGCTTTCTCATTTTCGTCTTCTTGATCCCGCCTGGCCTCGTGAGCGCCGACGGTGAGCCGAACACGTTTGCCACCTGCAGCATTGACAGCAAGAACCGTGCGGCAATGGTCTGCGTCTGGGGACTCTTGTCTTTTTTTTTTCTGGCCCGCAGGTCTGGACATAGAGTTCACAGGCCTTCGCTCTAACCTGTCCCGGCCCCAGCAGATCAGGTACACCAAAGCTGCCGTAGCTGAGCCAGGGGAGGTGCGCTCCTCTGTGCCCTCGTGCCTCGCACTCCGGCCACGTCCCCGGCCTTTCTCAGCAGGGCCTTATTGGCTTTGAGGGGGCAGGGCAGCTCTTGGGGGGGGGCGGCTGGGGACCTGGCCCTTGTCCTCTAAATGCTGGTAGCCTTCCCTCTTGGTAACAAGGTAACGCTGCCTCTGGCTGAGAGGCGCCCCTCTGGCGCGGAGGCTGTGGCACCTTTATGTCCTCTCCTTGCCTGTGGAATGAGATGCCTGTTTTTCCCCCAGTCTTTTCGACTTGCCCTCCGAGTGGTATCTAAAGACCCGCCACAGTGTTCAGCAATTCACCATCTGTCAGATTGGTGAGTGTCCTCTTCAGCCGTTCCTTCTGAGTTACTGAAGGAGATACTTGGGTTGTCTTTGTGTTTCCTCTGGTAAAACAGCGTTGACCCCTTTCAGAGAGATTGGCTGTGGTTGTGGATGCTTGTTCGGTTTTTGTCTGTGTTGTGCCTGTGGGCCTAACACTGTGCAACAAGCAGAAACCTCGTTTAGCAGCACCGTTCATCAACATGAAGGAGTCTGTACCATCTTTCAAGGGAAAATGTGTATGATTTTTGTTTACAGAAAACTTATACAAACAAGATCACGTTATAAGTATCTTGCTCTGTAGCCTTTTTCGCTAATGGAGCTTAGAGATCTTTCTGTATTGACATAAACAGCTCTCCATTTTTAACAGTCACATAGTATTCCAAATTGAGTATATCCATTGACTCAGTCTGCTAATGATGTACATTTGAGTTACCTTTTGTGTGTATTGTTCTGGTATGTGCATATGTATTTGGTATACTTCCAGCAGATTTTACTGGCCCCTGCTTTTTCTGTGAATGAGGACCGTCTGTGTGTGTGGTTGCTCTCTATCCTTGTCCTTTGCTATTCTCTTGTGGTTTTTTCCTTAATTGTAAGACCTCCGTGAAAAGTACATGAAACAGCACGCTGATACGTTTCTGTTGTCCTCCCCTACTTTGAAGCCTTCTTCACTTTGCATAGGGTCTCTTTAGCAATATGGACATTTTAAAGCCATTAAATGTATAAATCTCTGGTTTTTAGCATTTCCTCTGGTGAGTTTTAAAACTAGAAAAAATGTCAGTATTCTGTGTTTGAAGAACCATTCACCATCCTATTTTAATAATTTCAGTGTGAATTACAGTTGATAGTTCTCCTGTTCCAAGTCTGTGTTTTCTCTCTTTTTTTCTTTTTAAGATTTTATTTACTAGAGCACAAACTGGGGGAGAGGGAGAAGTAGGCTTCCCCGCTGACCAGGGAGTCGGATGTGGGCTCAATCCCAGGACCCTAGGATCATGACCTGAGCCGAAGGCAGACGCTTAACCAAGGAGCCACTCCGGCGCCCCGCCCCATATTTTCTTTAAGAGACAATCTTATTCTAAAGGGTACACAGTTTCTTTAGGTGCAAAATATTGTTCAAAATGTTTCCTTGCTGAAGCTCACTTCTGGTAGGTTTTCTTTGGTATTCATTTCCTCCTCTTTCTTCTAGGATTGTCTGTGTTTTCCAGTATTGAAGGAGAGTTGAACAAGTATGTATGAAGACCTTTTGCAAAACACCTGGCTCTTGCCCACTGATCCTCTCCACCTGCTCCCCTCCAACTGCCTCAGGGTCTGAACCACGTTGGCCCTAGACATTCCATAGTCTCCTCTGCTTCTGTGCGTTTCCGCCCCACTGTCCCCTGCAGCTTCTGGCTCCTCCAAGTCTCTCTCGGCACAGTATCTTTTCTGGGGTGCCTTTCCCAGCATTTAGGTGCTCCTCTCCCCGTTTCTGTGCGCCCTGAAGGTAGCAGTTAACACGGTGTCATAATGAGGGTGATGTGGCTCCCAGGAACCAGCAGTCAGAAAGCCTGCTGAACAGTAGGCTCAGGATGGGGGCTAGACTCTTCCATGCGGGCAGGATCTCTGCCTTTTTCCTTTGGCCCCAGGGCCAGTTGGTACTAGAAAAAGCCAACATTCAAATACTTCTTGAATGAAAGGAGGAGCCTGCTCCGAAGTCAGCTCTGAGAGCTAGAATTTTAAAAATGGTTTTGGCTTTTCCTTTTTACATTTATTTATTTATTTTATAGGTATGTAGCCCATTCCTGTAACTTCTTTCTCTTCCCGACGACATTTGGGATCTTGGATTCCGAATTCTCTTTCCAGGCTTCTAGTGTTCAGTTTTTGAATCAGTATGGCTTCGACTACAACAAGGTATGGCAGCAGAGAAGGGAAATGGGAAGGTTTTAAAGGTTCTCTGGTCCAGCTGGGCTGAGTCCCATTTCCTGTCCACGTGAACTGGACAAGGAAGGCTTCTTTTCCCTCTGCTCCCCTGCCCAGAGGATGCCTCCACTAGTCTCCTTGTTCCCCATCTAGTTTCTCAAAAATGGGATCCCATATATGAATGAGGAGCAGGAGAAGAAAATTAAACACAGCATCCTGACCGGGAACTGGAGAGTTCGCAGGTAAAGCCCGTTTCTCTGGGGGCTTTGGGACTCTCTGTTGCTCTCTTGCTGCTGATCTTCCGAGTTTCCTGTGGGTTGGCGTGCCGGCTCCAGGGTATGGTGACCTCCCGCCATCACCTTTAGCTGGGGTGGCTTCGGCAGCATGCCATCAGCCAAACACAGCAGCTCCAAGTGCTGGGCGTTCTGTTCCCTCACCTGAGAGGAGAGCCGTCCTACTATATGGAGGATGATTTTCGTGTTGAAAAGTGAAGGGAAAAAAGGCACTGACTCTTAACTCCGTACTCAAATGAAAAAGCGGGAGCTTCATGCCAGTGGGGTGGGGGGGGGCGGAGAGGGGAGGGGAGCAGGCTCTGTGGGACTCCGTGTGAGATGTTATGCTGGCCTTCAGGGCGATCTCGGGGAGGTCTCGGTGGTCAGTGACGTATAACCTTGACCACGCCAGTCATGGCCTGGACATATTGCCCCGTGTTCTTGAATCTGCGTGCTCCTGAGGGCGGGGTCTGCCTTTTTTTCTTTTTTTCTTCTTTTTTTTTTTTTTTAAGATTTTTATTTATTTGACAGAGTGAGCACAAGCAGGGGGAGTGGCAGGCAGAGGGAGAAGCAGACTCCCAGCTGAGCAGAGAGCCCGATGCAGGACTCGATCCCAGGACCCCGGGACCATGACCTGAGCCGAAGGCAGACGCTTAACCGACTGAGCCACCCAGGCGCCTTTTTTTTTTTTTTTTTTTTTTTTTTAAGCCCCCAGTGCCAGTTGTCTTACTTGAAACCAGGACTGCTATGGAGCTTGGGCCAGGAGTAGTGGAGTGACAGCATTGTGTGGTCCCCTGGGCCCTAGGCAGGCTGTGTTGGCAGAGTCTGGAGCTGAACTAGTCATTTCAGCTCTTTGAGCTTTAGATTCTTTGCCTTTATCAGGATGGGAGGTTAAATTAGACCGATTTTTAACTCTGGAATATTATGATTGAATATTGGGTCCAGATAATTATATAATATTGGAGGTTTTTTTGTTTTGTTTTGTTTTGTTTTTTAAGTAGGCTCTGTGACCAATGTGGGGCTTGAACTCACAATCCCAAGATCAAGATTCGTGTGTTCCACTGACTGAGCCAGCCAGGTGCCCCTGGAGGTGCCTTTTTTTTTTTTCCTCCGCTGAAATCCTTATCCTGAGTTTTTCATATAAAAATGTAGCTTTTTTTTTTTTTTTTTTGTAAGAGAAGATCTATTTGAATTTTTAACCTTCTGTTATTTTCAAATGTTGGAGAAAAGTCTTTCCTTATCTCAAAATAACATCGTGTTCTTATATTTCTGACGTAGAGGACGTGCTTACCAAAGTTCCTGTCTCTTCCTTATTTCACCAGATGGTGCTTTTTCACCCCAAAAGCTGAATTAAGCAGACAGGCCTGACAGGAGTGTTTAGTGTTGTCTAGCTCCCATGCATCCCAGTGAAGCAGAAAGGGATGGACCATGCTCCTGCGATTGTAGGGGAGAGTATCAGCCGAGTGTCTGGCTCTCTCTTGCAGAACAAGATTCAGAAAATAGTCTTTTTTGGGTTTATTTTGTTGCTGAGATCACAATGTTAAAACCGGAGTCCTCTGAAACTCTTGTCATGTTAACGTTGTCTTAAGGTTCTGGTGGTTTTCTCCAGCATCCCACTTTCATGTGCCCATTTTCAGTTCTCTGGATAAAGACCAGATCAAGGTGGTGATCGATGAGGTGACACGGTGGCTGGACCTGGCGGAGGAGGGCGACTGGATGACTCTCCCTGGTATCGCTGGTAGGTAGGAGGCTGCTCCCCCCAGCCTGGGGGTGTTGGGGCTGGTCACTGTCGGGTGCAGGGGTTGGGGGGCACGTACCCTCTCCTTCCTGTGGATCCTGGGCATCGGCTCAGCGGGCGTGTTGTCCCTGGGGTCAGATCAAGCTCTGACCTCAACTCAGAAGCCAGAGGCCTTTTGACTTATTTTGAGTTTTAAGGTTGAAGATGTCCCGTTCCATTCAGAGTCATCTTTTTTATCCCAATCCTGAGAGCCCTGTGTTACTATTATTTACTTGTGTTCACCCCTGGATTTTTTTTTTTTTTTTCCCCACGGCACAGTGTGGAATCACAATGAACATGCCCTCAATTAGTGGTCCTCGGGCTTGGTCTGTGGCCCCCCGGGGTCTCAGACCCTTTCCAAGGGGTGTACAAGGTCAAAAGTACTGTCAAAATCTCACTTGGCTGTCACTTGCCGTTGTCACTGGGCATTTGCATGGATAGTATTGAGCGGGGCGCCGGTGGGTAAAAATGCACCTCGGAGCAGACCCTGCGGGCTGTCCTCCTGTACTTCGTTGCCACTTCCAGCTTAGAAACACAAAATCTAGTTTTTATGAACTACCTTCGTGGCGAAGAAGTAACTCAACCTTTGTTCATCTTTTAATTTCGATGTGTCAAAATACATATGCGTAAAACCTTGCTGTTGCTAACCGAAGTGCAGCGGTTGCCTGGATGAAAGTGCCCGTGCATGTTTCTGAGCTGGTAGCTGAGTCCATGCCTTTTCTTTTAATGGAATGTCGTTTTTACATGAAAGAACAGACTGTGGTTATTTTGATTTTGGGTATTTTCAGTCCTTTTCTCAAGTGAGAAAAGTAAGCCTGTCACTTGCAGGAAAATAACAGAATTTGTGAGTGATAAAATTTGAGCTTTCCATCAAAAACTAAAATTTTGGAAAACTCAGGTCTGCCACCGTGAGCTTGACAAGCTTCCCAATACTGAGACCGTTCTGATGGCCCGTGGTACATGTCTTGTTGATCGTATGTAATGTGTGAACATCAAAAAATTCGAGTAACTCCACAAAGCAATATTTTTCACATAACCAGTGCATGATGTTACAAAATCACGGGTAGCAGTGTAATGGTTTTATTATTTTAAAAGAGAACTTTGCATTGTTTAACGTTCACTGTTCTAATGCAGTGAATGTCAAAAGCTATAACCCCCCCACAAAGGCTCGCCAGGGTTGTCTCAGAGTGGCCCTGAGATAAACTTCGAGAATGGACGTGAATGCTGTGCCATCCCTGTCGTGGGGGCTCCTGGGTTTAGGTACACCTGAGAGCTGCCTCTCCGTTGTCCCCATGCATCTCTCAACTTCTTCTCCTGAGGGGAAAGTGAACCCCCGTCTGGGTGGTTCTGTGCAAGCCTTGCGTTTCCTTGCCACAGGTTTCCAGGCCTTTGAGGTCCAGCTGGTGCTGAGGCAGGCCCTCCCCGACATCTGGACGGTCCTGAGAGATCAGGGGGTGAGTTCCCACCTGTGAGCAGGCAGTCCCAGTGGCTCTATTCTCGCTCATTCCACCAAATCTGGCCTCTGAAAGGCTTTCTTTTGTCTTTTCACCCCTCCTTTTGAGATGAATTGCTTCTTTGGCTTCGTTCCCAGGAACCCAGGATTCAGAGAACTTGTCTCTACTTTTGTCTCAGATAATAGTGAAAAAAGTGAGTAAACAACATCGCTGGTATCTTGAAAACACCTCCTGTGATCGAGCCAGCTGTTGGAAGGAGAAGATTCTTCTCTCTGCCAGGGGTTTTTCGGTCTTTTTCCAGATGCTGGTGAAAGCCCAGAAGGTAGGGGGGGAAAAAAAATCTGATCCCTAGCAGTCATTTGTATTTCTGAGCATAGAAATATGCTGTGTCCTCCAACAAAAATAAGATTCCTTGAGATAAGTGGTTCTTTCCTGTCAGTAACTGGCTTTCTAGATCTAGCCTTGCTTTCCCCAAACCGTGATGGGTTAAGCTGGGGCAGAGTGTCCGCATAAAACCCTGCGGCTCCTTTCCCCCTGTTGGGCACACGGCCGCTTCACTACTAGCTGACCTAGGACTGCTGGGGGAAGTTCTTCAGTTTAGACCCCCAGCATGGACCCTGTGCCCCACATCCCTCCTGCACCGTGCTTGTCCTCCTGGCATCAGAGCCGTTGGGCCACCTCTCATGAGGGTGGGGTGAAGGGGGGTGGACTGCCGTGTGGTAGGATTGCCATGGGTTCTAAGGCTACCCCCTCTGCGAGAGCATGTTCACCTCGGATGTCTGTTTTTAAACCTCTTCTCTGCCACCTGCCGATTCCTCCAAGTAGCCCTTAGTGGGCCACAATATGATGATGGACCTGCTGCATCTGCACGAGAAGTTCTTCCGGCCACTCCCAGGTACGGGCACACCTGCCATCCCCCTCTCCATCTTCACTGGCCACCTTGAGAGGGGGTGGGGGCCAGGGTCCTCCTGTGCTATCTCCTCACGATCCGCTGGCTTCTGTAGAGTCCCAGCATCTCTGTGCCTGTTCCCATTTTCGCGGAGTGGAAGCCAGGTGCCTTTCTGGCAGAAAAACTTACATTTGAATGGATACTCTGGCCCCCATTATGGAAGTTGTCCCAGATCCTTGTATAAAACCTTATAAAATCAGAAATGTGAGCAGGAGAGATGCTGCCTTCAATCTCAGCTATAATCCCAACACTTTGCTTTTTCCTCTGTGAGTTCTCACAAATTAGATCACACTACATAGGTGATTTTATGTTTGGCTATATTTCCACTTACCGAAAGCATTTGTGTCATTGGCCTAATAAATGCCATATCAGTGGCTGTGTGGCCTTGTCTTGTGGTTGGGCCATACTTTTCCATGACTGATGGTGCCCTGGCTGGATGTACAACGGGGTCGTGTAGCCGTTAAAAGCATGGACTTGGGAGCCATGCGTGGCTCCTCATTCCACCCCTTGTTACGTGTGTGAGCTCCAACAAAGCACTTCCTCTGCTTCCTATAAAATGGGGGATAGTAATGGTACCAATATCCTAGTATCAGGGATTAAATGAAGTAATGTACACTATCTAGATCAAGAGGGTGAGACGGTTCTAAGATTTCCCCAAGAAATGAATTGATAAAACACCTTAGTTTGAGCATATTGAGGAAATTGGGGGAGAAGTTGGGGTAAAATTCATAAGCCATGACCAGAAAAACTGAGACAACAAAACAAAATTGCAGGGAGAGCAAGAGCTGGGCAAGAAAGGAAAGGTGGCGGGGTGGGGGGGAATGTGACCTGGCCCCACGAGAGCAAGGAGGTGCGGTCCGGGGCTGAGTCAGGAGTCCTCTTACGCAGTAGGAAGCCACGTAGGTGCCTAAAACTGGTGAAATCGCCCGTAGCATAGCTGAGCAATCCGGGAACAAACACCCAGAGAAAAGGACTGGAAAGTGCTGGTCTGGGGAGTGGGACGAGGAGAGCAAGGCTTGTGTTGGTTGGTTTCGCAGCAAACCTCTTTAAACTGTGTGCAGGTAGGCCTTTGATAAATAAACCAATCGATAGCTCAGTTCCTTATCGGGGTACTTCACTCACAATTTTTAGTTGATTTTTCTTGGATCTTCTCTGAATAGTCCCTTGTAAGTGACGATTTCATATCTGCCTTTTCAATAGCACTTCTTTTTCCGTTTTTCCATTGGCTAGAACCTTGCAAACTACATTAACCTTGACCATAGACGATACCCTGAATTTAATGGAAAGCCATTTGGCTTTCACCACCATGAATGGTGATGGCAGGTTGGTTTGAGATCTGTCAATTCTTAATGATTTAGGAGAAAGGACGTTTTTAATTCCCATTTTGTTTGCTTTGTTAGTGTTGGTGACAAGCTAGGTTGGAGAATCTTCCCATGTTTTACCAACAAACTCCCTTCTATCTGGTCTTTTCCTTCAGAAAGCTATGATCAATTTAAGCTGAATATCCACAACCTGTTTCCTGTTCTCATTGACACTAAGAACGTGACCAAGGATATCTGGAAGGTAAGGAACGGGGCTGCTTTGGGTTAAGGAGTGCTTTGTCCCAATCACACTTCACTTTGTCTCTTTTTAAAAATCTATCTTGGAACCCTTTTCTCCTATTTTACAACCAGTATTGGCTTCCTTTGTGTTTTAACATTGGGTTATCTTACTAGCTTCTGAGTGTTTTCCTTCCCTCATTCGAGTTCCCATGTTTTGAATGAGGTATATGGAACTTGTCTGATCTAAATAAGCAGTCCACAGAAGAGCTTGTGCTGGAGCTTGAGGTATGTGTGAGGAGTATTTGCAGCCAACTCCAAGAGCATCAGGGTGCAGGAGTCTCTGAAGAATCTTTACTGAGGTGTAAAGTCATGGGTTTGCCACCCTGAGTGCATTACAATCCCCTGGGAAGCCAAATCCTGACACCTGGGTCCCACCACCAACTCCCAGTGGTTTGGAGGGATGGGGGGGGGGGTTGTATTTCAAAAGCTCCCAGGGGCTTGTGCAGTGCAGTTAGGGTGTGAACCACACATGGAGAAGGGAGGCACCCCACTGGCTTAAATGATTCTTCGAAGTTAAACTGAGGAACAGAGAAAGGGAAATCAGATCAGCATTTTAAAGCCTGAAGCTGGTCACTTGAAGTTAACTATCCAATAACAGAGCCACAGCAATGGCACTGGGTTGCCTGGTACATCCTTGCCCAGAGCCCATTCACTGCTGTACCACCCCGGTTTCTAGTTCTTGAACACTTCTCTGATGCTGCTCGTGTCCGTGTGGCAGAGTCCTAGCGTGAAGCAGGAAGGACGTGGGCTGATCTGAGAGGACCCATGTGGACTCCTTGTCACACAAGAGGAGATGAGCTCTACGGCGACCTGGCATGTCCCAAGGCTCTGGTTCTCAGAGCACCTGGTGTCCTACGAGTGTGTCCTTGGCCATGGCCTGGTGCCTTGGAGGCGTATGTTCATGGAACCACTTAAGCACATGTCTTTGAAGGAAGGCTGTAGGAGCTGTTGCAGTTTTTCTAGCTTTGCTTTTTGGGAACCTTTTAGGAAACCCAAGATCATTAGGTGCTTGGACATCCTGATCAAGGAATAAGGACACTTGTGTTTGAATAGAAAGAGGGGTTTATAGGAACTATTTTCCATGTTTCTTTAATGGCCATTTGGCAATACTCAAAGCAGATAACAAAAGCACAAGTTTTATTCTCCCTGATTTGTTTTCCATAATTTTAGGAACTGAATTTCCCAAGGGTTTCAAATCTTTCAGAAGTTTATGAAGTCCTAAACAGGTAAGGAAGCCTTTTTTTTTTTTTTTTTTTTTTTTTTTTTTTGAGCTGCTCCTAGAGCAAAGGTTCTCAGTGGAGGGGATTTTATTCCCCAGGACACATCTGGCAATGTTGAGACATTTGGGGTTGTTACAAATGGGGGCTATATCTGGTGAGTAGAGGCCAGGATGCACAGGAATAGCCCCCAACAGCCAAGAATTCCCCAACCCACAGTGTTCCTAGGGTGTACCCACCTCAGCACTATCTAGAGGGGCAGGAACCCGTGAAATACCTACAGCTGTTGAATTATATGGTGGTTTCTGGTGGCCAGGGTTTAATTTCTCTTGATCTGTGTCTGATTACTGGCGAGGTAAGCTCCAGCAGATCGGGCTGTTTTCCATCCGGACCCTGGTGTTTGTCATGGGCCTGACACGGGGCTGGAGGGTGCACCCCAAACACTTGAGTGAATGAATGATCCCAATACTAGGGACGACCCTGACCTTTCTGTAGAAGCAGCTCCCACCTCCCCTTAGAGCTCTGACTGAGGCCTGGGTTGTGCTAGTGGGGACACGATGCCTGGGAAGTGCCAGGGTCTGGGGAGCTCGGTTCCTTCCTCCCCATCTGGGAGGACCAGGAAACCCCGAGCAGCGGAGAGAGAGGGGCATCATGGCAGCTGAAGGTGGCACCTTTCTGAAAGGAGAATGGGTCTGTTCCTCTCTTGGTGACAGTCCTCTGACCACCCGCATTCCCCCCCCCCCCCCTGCAGTGCAGTGCGTGGTAGTCTCCTCTGGGCCCTCGTGCTTCATGTTCTTCCTCCAATGCCCCCGCCCCCAGGTCCCCATTTCCAGGAAGAAAATCCAAGGCCAAATGCAGGCAGTGTCCACTCCCTGCCCTGCCAACATTTGTGGTGTTGTCTTTGTCAGGGTGTCTCCCAGCAGCCAGGACACATGAGCGCCTCCTGTGGGGGGGGCCCAGGCGGGAAGGGCTGCCCTGCGCCCGCCTGTCCAGCCTCCAGCCCCGTGGTCCTCCCTCCACTGGCTCGGCGGTGTCCCTGGCGGGGCTTCCAGCCTGGCCCCCTCCCCTCGCCCGCCATCAGCCTTGTTCTCCTCGCTTAAACTGCAGAGCCACCCTCCTGACTCTGTGCGCTCGCTACCACAGTCTTCCTTCTCTTTGCGACATGCCTCTTCAGGGGCCTCTATGCGGCCGTGACCCACGGAGGTCAGGTTCTCTTCCTTCACGGAACTTGCTCTCGTGAGCTTGCCCGGGGCAGACTCCTCCGTCGTCCCAGCCGAGGGCCGATGCATGGGAGGCCCAAGGAATGGGCATGGTGACTGCTCTCTGGAGCCTGGCACCCTCAGCCTCTCCCCACCCGTGCTTCGGTGGTACCCTTCCCCGGATTTCTGGTGGGTTTTATGGTTTTTCAGTCCATTCCTTGTGGGCTCTTGTTCTTCCACCCATCCCTTAAGTCCCTTCAGGGTCGTTCCTCGACCCGCTCCTTGCTCGTTATCGTGTCCCTGGGTGACCAAATGCACTCCCTTAGCTTCAGCTACTGCTGTCCGTGACTATTTAGACCTCCAGGACAGCCCTTCGCTCGCTGCCTGGCTGCCGGGCCTTCCTGCCTCACGCGGCCACGGGCACCTTTAACTTGGCATCGTTCTCCGTCCCTCAAACCCACCTCTTTGCCTGCAACTCTCACGAAGTCCTGATGGCCACAGGGGCCGTGCACAAATGTGAGGGTTTTGTTGGAAATGCACAGGCTCTGAATCGAGACTGCTTGGGTTGAAAGGCCGGCTTTGCCACCCGCTGGCTTGTGAGCAACGACCGAATCTCTCTGAGCCTCCGTTGTACCACCTGTGACCTGAGGATATGACTGCGGGGAGCTCGCAGGTAGCCGTGGACACAAGTGTGCTCGCACGCGGGAAAGGACTTGGACCGATGCCTGCGCTCGGCCCGTGTCTGTGTGGCGTCCACTGCTGGCCTTGTGACCGGTGGCCTGAAACTGAATGGGTACATGCACCGGACAGATGGGGAAACGAGCGGTGCAGAGGTGCTCGGCACACACCCAGGTTCTAAGAGCCTTTGTCGGAAAACAAAGGGAAGGTTTCCTTGTTGAGTGCCATCCCCTGTGCCAGGGCCGGGGCTGGGCCAGCCACGTCTTCTAGTCCGTGGACTCCTGTCTGTCTGATGCCCTGAGCGTCTCTGGAGCCTCTCAGGTCTGCCTTGCCCCTGCGTGCCCAGCATCCTTGCCTCCGCCCCGGCCTCTTTCATTCCAGGGACCGTAGAGGCGCCACGGGTATCCCCTGGCCTGGCCTGGCTCACTGCGTACTGTCGCTGGAGTGATCTTTCAAAACATGAACCTGACTGAGCCAGGTTTCTGGTCCGTCTTCCCGATGCTCCTGAAGTCTCCCCACCACAGATCATCCGAGCTCTCTTCCTGGCCCCTGCCCTTCCCACGGGGGCTTCAGCCACACCGCTCGCCTCGGCAGCGCCATCAGGCCTCGCTCCCTTTCCCTCGCTCCCTTTGCGTGCTCTCCGTGCTCGAGATGCCGGTCGCCTCCCCGTGACTTCAGCTGAGCGAGTTCCTGTGGTTCGGGACTCCTGGGGTACTGCCTGCTTCGAGAAGCCTTCCATCCCTGCAGCCCGCAGCCTCCCTATCCTCGGGTGCTCCGTGCGTGCCTGGGGCGCTGCAGCAGCGGGACCAGCCCCGTACCTGCCCTTTGGGCCACGGGGTAGCTCTGCAGGCAGTGCCGGTGTCGCATGTGTCCTGGTGCCTCGGGTCTGGCTCAGCGTGTGGCAGGTGCTCAGAGCAGCCCGGCTGCAGCCTCCGGCCCAGGTGTTCTCCTTCACCTGCCCTGGTCTGCCTACCGAGACCCTACCGCCTGTTCCTGTTTGTCTTTTTCTTAAAAAGGCACCCCAGTCCTGAGGACCCTTTTACTTACGTTAACATGGTGAGGAGAGACCAAGAAGGGCTTACTTGCGGTGACTCTCCATCCTGTTTTTCTTCTCTACTAGTGACTTGAATCCTACCAAGAATTCCGGGCCAGTGGTTATTCACGCAAGCAAGTGTGAAAAATATGGTATGTTCCTATGAGCATAAGCTGCTCCGTGGGCGGCAGAGTATTGAGGTACCAGAGTGGAGGCTTGGCCTCCCCATGGACAGGTGTGTGGGAGGGCCACATGGAGTGCTCCATCGTTCTCCTGTCTGTGCTCCAGGTACCCCCCTTACAAGGGAGCCACCCCAGAAGGCATCGCAGCTCCTGGGGGTCACCTCCCCCTGGACATGTGGCCGGCCTGCCGGGAGGCTCTCCGCCTCGGCTTCCTGCTGCTGTGGGGGGACCGGGGTGAAGACAGGCGTGGGTGGGGAGAAGGGCACACACATCTCTGGAGGAATGATGGTTGTCGGTGATGTGTGCACGGCCGGTGCAGGTGTGCGGCTGGGTGGGGGAGAGAGCCCTGTGCAGGCCATGTTCTGATGGCTGTGCCCTGCTCTCTCCTTCTGGAACGCTGCTTCAGTTGAGACCAAGTACCCTCACGAGGCCGCGTACGATGCCTTCCTCTGTGGATCAGGTGAGCGTTGCCGTCCTCTGAAAGGGGGACTCCTGCTTTATTTGTGATAATCCCCACCATCCCGAGGCTCCCCATTTATTTCCAGGTGGGTTGTGCATAATGGACATAAAGCAGGGGTTTGTGTATTTTGATGGGGTGCTGTGGTTGAGCCTGGACGTGTGTTACATCTCTAGCTTTCCCCCCCAGTTCTTCTGAAAGTGGCACACTTGCTTCTGTGGAGAGTACACCGGTGAGTGTTCCTTCCTTCTGTCCTGTTCCCGGAACTGTGGTCCAATCCCCTGAGCCCTCGCTGTAAGCGAGGACCTCCGGGCTCCTGTGGCTCTCCCAAACACGGGCGGTGCGGGATGGCCTTTCCTACTGCCCCGGCCCCCTCTGAGCTGGGCCAGGGCCCTTCTCAGCACGGGGCAGATCCACGTGCCAGGAGGCCAAGGCAGTAAGGTGGGGTGCAGGGCCTCACACCTGCCTCGGTGCTTCACAGTGTTTGGTATGCAGGCTTTGTTATCCACCTGTTTCTCGTAACCATGGAAATCAGTGAGGTGGGAGGGCACATCCTTGGGGTCCACACAAGCTGCGGAAAAGGGTAGTGACTCGGAATAAGGCATATAGGGGAGAGATTCTTAAAACCCCAAACTGGAATCTTAAATGCATTTCCCCATGGTAACGGCACCAGGCTCCTAGGCACCAAGGCCACACTTGGAAGATGCGTTCTAAGCCACCATCCTTGGTGTGTGCATTTGTTAAATAGGATTTAGGCTTGGTGAAGGAGCGAATCAAAATTGTAACAGGGTCTTTGAGGCTGACTTGGAAACCTTTTCAGACTAGTCCAAAATTTTTATTAATTTTACTAATCTGTTAACTTTGGTACTACCTATATCTTTCCATTTTATTTTATTTTATTTTTTTAAGATTTTATTTATTTATTTGAGAGAGAGCAAGCACATGAGAGGGGGGAGGGTCAGAGGGAGAAGCAGACTCCCTGCCGAGCAGGGAGCCTGATGCGGGACTCGATCCTGGGACTCCAGGATCATGACCTGAGCCGAAGGCAGTCGCTTAACCAACTGAGCCACCCAGGCGCCCCTATCTTTCCATTTTAGTAATGGCTGTATACTCTATAACCTATTGATGTGAGGCTTATAACTTAAATAAGTCTGCTCTCTCACTCTTTCCTGTGCTTTGACAGCATCTGAGTGCCGACTGGGAGGTACATGTGTGCCTGATGGGGGAGCCCCTCATGCCCTGCACCTGGGTGCCTTCCATGCTTGTGTTCTAATCCTCCTGACCTCAAAACCCTCCTAGGGGTAGAGAAGTTCCATGGCGTCCCGGGCCTGCCTGGCTCCAAGGCCCGTGCTTTTGCCCGGACCTGGGCTCCGGCACGTGGTCATGTCTGCATGGAGGCGGGCACGCGAGAATGAGGGCTGAGGGACGGCCATTCGGGATTGAGAGCGATGTCCTGTCAAGTGGACCTTTGGACCGTGGCTTCTCACTAATTCTCTGAGCCCATTGCTGATGCTTGTCAAGGAAGCTTTATCCAAGTGTCACCGACAGATGGTGACCCTTGAAAGCTCAGCTGTGGCTGGGGCCCCAGAGGGCGCTCTGGGATTGGTCAGTTGGGGGAGTCTGCCGATTTGGAAGGAGGAAGGGGAGAGTGGTCTGAGGCGGCACCCTCCCCTATTCCGTCCCCAGACCCTTCGCTGTGGCTGAGGACCTGTGCTTGACCGCTGGTGTGCCTGAATGCTTTGGGGTTTTCTCTGTCCCTGTAGTGCTGGCCCCATGCCTGAGCCCTCCTTCTCTCTCTACCTTGATGTGCTCGCTCCCTATGTGAACCAGGTGAATCTTATCCGAGCTGGGGTCCCTAAGATTGTGAGTAGCCTTTTTTTTTGCTCCTTTCCCCTTCTCAGAGGCATGTGCTGGGAAGCAGCCCGGTTTTCTCGGGGATCTCTCAGAGGTGGTCTGAGAGCAACCAAAACCAGAGTGAAGAGGGTGCTCCCGCCCCCGCTAGGCTTGTTCTGTTCTTGTCTTCCTGCCCAAACCGTCGTGGATGCGCGCATTCCTTCCGTCCCTTCCCAGCCCAGACAGAGCCTCTCCTAGCCTCTCAGGATTTTCAAACCAGGTCAGTTGTCCGTAGGAAGTGCAGAAAACCTCCTCTGTTCTTCTCCCTGCCTTCTAGAATTTCTCGGGTCCAGATTGCCCCAGTATCCGACCTCCCATCCTCCTCCTCCGTGTCCGGAGGTGGCCTGGGGTCAGCGAGCAGCAAGTCTATCGTGAGTTTCAGAATCTCTGCAAGTTCGATGTGCGGCGACTCTCGCGGAGCCAGTTCCTGCTCTTGACCAACAAGTTTAAGGAGTAGGTGCCTCGGCGCTCGGCCCACCCCCGTGCCCCTCAGCCACCCTGTCTCTTTGCGGCCACTTGGAGCCTGCTTGGAACAGCAGGGCTGACACTTGCATGCCTGACCTGAGACTGTCTGTTGGCAGTGCCCGGAGCATCCTGAAGGAGTACAGGGGCCACCCCAGCCTGCAGGTGTCCCTCTACCGGTACTGGAGGCACTCCCCGAACATCAACTGCCTGTTACAGTAAGCGTGCCCGGGACCGCGGCTGCGGAGTTTGCTCGCTGGGGGCGGGGGTGTATTTGAGCGTGCACACGAGCGGAGGGAGGGGCAGAGGGAGAGAATCTGAAGCAGACTCCCCGCTGAGCGCAGAGCACGCACGATGCGGGGCTCAATCTCACGACCCCGAGGTCACCACCTCAGCCGAAACGAAGAGTCGGATGCTCAACCGCCTGAACCAGTCAGGCAGCCCACCAGTGTGTGTTGTAAAGGAGTCATTCCCAAGTACGGCGACCTGAATGTCCTTCAGGAACACTGGACGAGCATTTATTGAATGTCTGCTGGATTGGGTAGTGTCATAGGTTCTAGGCTTCATCCGCAAATAAGACAAAATCCCTGCTCTCCTACAACTCACCCTCCAGTGGGAGGTAACCGTGAACAAGTGAATTTCAGGATCGATCAGGTGACAAGCATTTATTAAAAATAAGAGCAGGTCAGGAGGTAGGAGTGGGGGGCCAGAAGGAAGGGTTACTGGTTAAGGGAAGAGATGGGGACCCCATTAAAGTCTCCAGCGAGGTAAGGGAACAAGCCAGGGAGAGCACTGGGGAGGACTGGCCAGGCAGTGGGGCAGAGGCCCTTGAGTGGGGAGGTGTCCGGGATGCCGAGGGGCCGTGAGAAGACCACGAGGAGAGGCTGGGGAGGAACGTGGGCCTGGTGGAGTGGAGGGCTGTGGGTGAGGGCTGTGGGAGAAGCTGCGGGTAGCTGAAGATTTTCAGAGAGGTGGGACCCTTGGCTCTGTGTGGGGCAGACTGCAGAGCACGCAGAGCGCTGGGGAGGCAGGCGGGCGGACCATCCGGTCGGGGCTTGGGCTGCCGGCTGGCAGAGTGGGGCGCTAAAGGGGGATCAAGGACCAACTGGAGCAGGGTCAAGCTTGAATCATGGTTTTTGGCCTGCGTAACTGAAAGATAAAATTGCTCTGAGGATTTTGGCTTGCTGGTTAGGAGCCGTATCTATAGAAAACCGCATGCTTGAAGAAAAATGGCCCCTAGGCAATCTTTTCTCCATCCGTCAACCTCTGATGTAAATCACTAGGAAAATGACTCGTCTGCATGTGTCTGAAAGCCATTCTGCCCTCAAGGCAGAAGTTCACACTGGGAGAATGATGGGAAGATAGGAACATTTGGGTGAGCAGGGTGGGGGCCTGCGTGTCTGGCTTTGGACCTGCCCGTTCTCACACAGCCCGCCGCCGTCCAGGACCGCTGACCTCTCTGTCTTGCAGGGTCTGTGGCGTGGTCATCACCTGGGCCCTCCTGGCACTTCTCCTCGGAAGACCTGGCCACTGAGTGCAGCCGGCAGCCTCTGTCCTATCCCTGCACCTCCCTGGGACAGCCATCCATTTGGTTTTTTTGTGGGTTTTGTTTGTGTAAATCATATTTTTACTTGCAGGCCAATCTGTGTGGTCCTTATGAGGAACTTTGTTTTGAAGGTGAAATTCTGTAATGATTATCAACGATAAAGAATTCCTTAGATGTGGTACTTTTGTGGCCAGAGCTTTTTTTTCTTTGAATGGGGAGAAGTCCTCGCCTCTGGGAATTTAGGCTAGACCCCCAGAGGGTCTCCTGCCCAGACAGCTAGCATGGGAGCTGGACAGTAGGTGAGCCAAAGGCTCCATTATTTCTGGGAGAGAAATTTTTGGCCGGTAGGCCCTTCCCCAGACCTAAATCCCTACCAGCCTGAGTTTAGTAAAGGGGGAAGAAATGAAGCTAAGTGTCCATGTGTATTGGTGATGTTTTATGGTTTACAGTATTTAACATTCACTTCAGAAGCAAAGATTGCGTACCTTTTGAGGCCAGATACAATCTGGTCACTCTGTTTCCCCTGCACTGGGCCACACCAGGGGCCACGCTGCTCTACGCCTCACCCAGCTGTGTGTGTGTGTATATAGAATAGCTGTTCTCTATTGAGAGCTGAACTTGGCTGGGCTGTTTCCTCAACCATGAACTTCACTTACCGATTTAGCAAAGCCTCCTTAAATTCAGGGTGAGGGGCGGCTGCGGAGGAGTTTCCTCCATAAAGCGGAATCGCTAGTGGGGGCAGACGCCATTCCAGAAGCCCCAGGCCCGTCCTGAGGGATGTGAGTGACCAGTGGGGCAGCTCGTGGTTGGACCAGTGACGGCCTGCTCTCTGGGGGCGGGGGGAAGGAAGTTTTACCCGTTTGTCCAAAAGGCATCCTAGTGAGGTCCCCCCGCTCCCCACTGAATGTAACTTTGTATACGCTGAGGAGCACCCCCTTTTCTCTTGGGGGCTTTTGGGGCTCAGTCTCGTTAGATGAGCTCCACATTCGGTAAGCAAACGTGAGAAGTGAACAAGCCCTTGGCAGAGTGAACCGAGTCACCGTTTTGACTTTCCAGGGTTGGAGCAACTGGCTTGTGTGGTTCTGGAGAAGGGAGTTACTCACCCGTTGGCCCGTCTGCAGGGCGCCGCTGTTGCGTGCACCTGCAGTGGGCCGTCCGCTGGCGACGCGGGCTGCCTTCGGGCGGTGGGGACGCCGGCCGCGCTGCCTGCCGTCCCTGCTGCGGGGAGGGGGGGCGGCGGGGGCGGGGGGCTGCTGGGAGCCCGTGACTGTGCTCAGATTCTTGATCGGTGTGCTGCTGAGAAGTGCCGAGTGCAGGGAGAGGCCCGGGGGGCCGGGTGGGCGTGGGGTCCCGGTCGTGGGCTGTTTGCTGCCCTCATCCTGCTTTCTCCTCGTCTCGTCTAGGTCTTCATCCCCATGCTTTTCATGTAGTTCTTTTATCCCATCGTTAAATGAAAAATCCAAAGCAAAAACGTAGACCAGGTGCTCTACCCTCCCCCCTTCCCTCTGCCTCGCCTTGTGGCTCAGGCCCATTCTCCCCTTTCAGCCATGTTTCCCTTCACCATAGACCGGCTCACAGGCCGGGCTTGCAGCCTGCCCCCAGCCGCCTGCCCCCCCTGCACCTCTCCTGCTCAGAGTCCCTCCACAGACTCTGCACCCTGGTTCCTGAGCCCCTCACCTTCCTGCTTGTTCCTGTCCTGTAGCCATGTTGAGCATCATTCCTCATCCCTCTGCCTGGCTCATTCCCCTCGCCCCTGAGACTCCATTCAGCTGGCGTCTCCTCTAGGTTCTGGATCTTTGCTGTCCTGGTGGCCCCCTCAGGGGTTGGGCTTCTCCTGCCTCTGTTAGAACGCTTGGGCTGTGTGGCCAGGCTCCTGGTCTGTCCCCTCGCAGGTGGGCGCTTGGCTCTCTAGTCCACGGAATCGGGGGGGGGGGGGGGCTCTGTGTCCCCGTGAGCCAGAGTTCCCTGTGCTTAGAGCCTCCGTGCTACTTGGAATGGACTTTGATCTCTTTGATGCTGCTCATTGAGGCACCTTAAAAATGGGGAGTCTCCTCATTCTGCATAATTGACATGGTTCTGCCTCTGCAGTCAAGGAAAAGAATGCACGGCTGCCCCAGGTGTCCCTGGCCTAGGATGTCCTTAACGACCGCCCATCATGTAGAAGTGACTTGACCCCGGCTCTTGCTCTTAGAGTGTTTGAATCCTGTTTGTAACCGATGAGATTTTTAGCATAAGAAAGATCATGGGTGGAAAGAGCAGTCTTAGAACGGTCATCTTAAAATTAGCCTTTTCATATCTTTCAAGTACATTTTCTCTGAAAGATAAAAGTTCATGTCATTGGGGCACCTGGGGTGACTCAGTCGGTTAAGTGTCTGACACTTGATCCCAGCTCCGGGCTCGATCTCAGGGTTGTGAGTTCAAGCTCCACACTGGGCATGGAGCCTACTTAAAAAAAAAAAAAAAAAAATTCATTTGTGATCAACTTTGGAATACTTCCTAAGGAAAAAACAAAGCCTGTTACTTTCTAACCATTAAGCATCTCTGGTGCAATTTTCCATAAATTTGTCTGAAAATCCAGTGCAATCTAATTAAAATGCTAAGTCCCTTTTGCTGCACGTGATGCCATAATCCCATTTCTGGGATTAGGATGTGGGCGTCTCTGGGGGCCAGTATTCTGCCCACCACGTTCTTTAGCAGCGCTGTTTTAGTTCACTCACCGCAGTCCTGCCAGGTAAGTGTGTGTAACCCCCACCTTACGATGACAAAGCAGAGGCTGAAGCAGGCTTTGCTGGAGGCCAGGCTTGCAGGCAGTGACCCACAGCCTCTGCTGGGGACCCCACACTGTCGCTGTGGTCTCTGGAATGCTACGGTGCTTCCATAGTGTCAGCCGAGGGTCAACACGAGGCAGCTCCCACACACAGGTTTCCCTCCCCCAACCCCTGCTGTCTGCACTCTTGCTATCATTTGCCTTGATCCCTTTTCCTAAAGAGAAGTACCAGGTCCTGACATGGGGAAAGAGAGACTACAGGGGGAGACGTGGGCTCAGCCCACTTTGTTGTTTACACTCGACCCCGCTCCAGCCTGCTCCGCACGCCGGGTTACAGGATAACGCCCACCCTACTGCCACCCCGACCCTCTAGCCCAGTCTGTCCTCGCTTCCCCTGGTGTAGACTTGGGCCCCAGTCCTCCCAGGGTGTGCGCCCTGACTGCTGGGAGCCTGGCCCCACCCGGGAGTGGAGCCACGGAAATGAAGCGCGCTCGGGACAGTGGGAGCCCAGGGAAGGCGGTTCCAGTGAGCTCTGGCCGTTCTGTCAAGGGCACTGACGCTTCTGCTCATGAACTTGTAAGGATGATTCCTTTAGCCTCCCGTGGACCTGCCCGGCCTCCTGCCCCATCCTCAGCCTTGTGGAGAAGCACGGGCCGTCACTGCCTGTGCGATCCCGGAGAGACCCAGCTCATGTGAAATGTGCTGCTGTGGACTCTTTAGAAGCCAGAGTTTATACATTTTTAAAAATAAAATATATGTTGCAGAAAACAGAAAAGTCAGGCACTCATTCTCTCTCTCCCTTAATACCATTTTGGACTTGCTCTTTAAAACATACTTGTTTGAACCCTGTACGGATCTCAGAGCGCAGTCTTTCATCCACAAACCCTCGCTCAGCTCCTGCCCTGCGTCAGGCACCGCTCTGGTGCTGGGACCTGCGGCCAGGAAAACATAGGCAGACACGACCAAGATGAAAGGGGACGTGAGGTCATTTCGAGCTGGCAGTGGAAAAACTGAAAGACGGGGGTAGGTTGCAACCTTAGAGTGTTCAGGAGGCTCGCAGAGGTGCTGTGTGAGCAGGGGCTTTGCTGCAAAAGCCCTGGGGCTGGGGAGTGCCTGCCCAGGGGGGTGAGGTAGGAGCCGAGGGCAGGGAAGCAGCCGAGGGTGAATCAGGCGAGGCCCTGGTGATGCTTTTATCTGAGGACTGAAGCCCGGGGAGGGCACGGCTGGCTTAGGGTTTTTTTTTTTTTTTTAAGATTTTATTTATTTATTTGAGAGAGAGAGAATGAGAGACAGCACGAGAGGGAAGAGGGCAGAGGGAGAAGCAGACCCCCCGCCGAGCAGGGAGCCCGATGCGGGACTCGATCCCGGGACTCCAGGATCATGACCTGAGCCGAAGGCAGTCGCTTAACCAACTGAGCCACCCAGGCGCCCGTTTTTTGTTTTTTTTTTTTAATTTTTATCTTAATTCCAGTTTCGGTTGTAAAGGGATGGCTCAGGCTGTGTGGCACAGGGGGCGAGGGGTTACGAGGCTGTTGCTCTGGCCTGGGGATGGGGCAGGGGAAGGCAGTGGTGGGAGGCGGTGGGTCCTGCATCCAGGTGCCTCTTGCCGGTTAGAGCCCCTGTGCTTCCCGACAGAATGAATGTGGGATTGAAGAGCGAGCGGAGTTGGGGATGTGTGGTCTTGGACCTGAGCAGTTAGAAGTGTGGTGTCGCCATGGGAGTACGTTGAAATTGTGTTATTTCAGTGCCTGTGAGAAGGGGACATTTGTCTTTTCATTGTCAAGATAGTGTTTGTCATTTATTGGTGGTTAGCGACTCAGGTGAGGCAGCAGGTGAGTCTCGCCCCAGGGTCAGGCGGAGGGCTGGGGCGCTTGGGCTCCGCCACGCCGCTGGGCCCCACGCCTACCGCCCCCTTGCCTGGTCTCCTGGCACGTGGTTCCATTTTTACAGGATGTTACGTGGTTAGTGTATTGCCCAAGAAATGCTTTAGTTTTGAGAAAGGCTTCATTGGGGAGTAAACCGGGAAAGGAAAGTTCCTCCAGGAGGGGCTGCCGAGTGCTGACTGGGTGCTGCTGGATCGCTCAGATGCCGACGCCCCAAGGGGCCTCATGGGCTCAGGGACCAGAAGGAGCAGCCACCACCTGGGCTCTGGGCGCGTCCCGCATCAGCAGTGTCTTTGCTTCCCCGCTCGCCCCCGTGGGGTCCCATCACACCACCCCAGGTGGACCTGGCTGCCAACAGGAGGCGGGGCCTGGAGTCCGGGCAGCACTCCCCAGGCCATGCGCTCTGACGAGGTGCTGCATCCCCTGGAGGAAGGGGACCGTGTCTGGATCCCCACAGAACGGCTGTCTGGAGTCAGGGAGGCCCTGAGGAGGCCTTGCCTGCAGCTCAGCTCAGAGAGTGTTCCTTTGCTGGCTCTGTGAGGATCCCCTGGCAAACCCAGGGAATGTCACCGGGCAAGGAAGTGTTCCAGTGTTCCTGCGTTCCTTCACCAAATGCCATCATAGTATCACCCTGCGGTCACACCCGAAGCTATTTCTAACGGAATCTTAGACACCTGGCTGTTACGTTGCAGCCAAATGGGGTCCTTTCTGTACGTCTTAAAAACTGCCTGCATTGGGGCCTATTTACTTACCTGGGGGTCGGGCTTGTGCCAAAACCCAAGACCTTCGTTGGCGTTTGGAAAGGAAATAGGAGAGCCTCATTTATATTTGTTTTCCTTGCCCTTCAAAGTTTCATTTTCTCATGTGCAGATCAGTACATGAGGTCAGCACACAACTTACCAATAAATATGCACATCCGGGTTAATGCTCAGCCTGTTAGTGATAAGAGTGAATGATTGACATCATTTGGAGACTGGCCATTTCCCTTTCAACGTCAGTGTTGACTGTGACAGGGATAAAGACAGCCTAAAACCAGCCTTGGGAGGCCGGCCCGAAGCGAGCCGTGCCCGGACCTACAGGCAGGATGCTTGAGGATGCGGACCGCTGATGCTCCCAGTGTGTTTTGGGGGGAGCACAAGCGGTCTTACCGTGCGGCAGGTGGAAGCGCACACACTCCGTGGCGGAGTCCTCCTCTCTCCAGCTGTACGGGGCTCGAGACCTGCTGCAGCGCGACGCTCAGCGGGCACGATTATCGTGTCTGATCGGGGCAGTCGGGTGGGAGGGAGCCAGAACCAGATTTCGAACAGCATGACATTTCATTCCAAGTGCTGATTACTGAAGATTTCGGTCACCTCTACTGTCTGAGGAGCCCGGGGACCTGCCAAGTTCAGTTCCGTGGAACTGGAGCTGCAAGCTCCCAGCTGTCATTGACCCCACGCCTCCAGCGTGTCACCCACCAAATCCAAACCACGGGCACCTTCCCCGGAAGCCGC